AGTTGCTAAATTCAAGCAATGCTTGAGCTTGTCGAATCTCAAACAGAATTAATGCAAATATTTATGCGTCGACACGAACTGTATATGGAAAACGGGTAAAATGCCCATACGTGTCAATTCTCCTATGTAAGTCAGAATAAAATAATACTCTTGGCATAGTTTGTAAACATATCATTTCACTCCATCTCTTCAAAAGAAAGACATTTCGCACGAGACGCGAAGCATAAATACCACGGCAAAACAATGTTGGAACTTTTTCACTTTCGATGCGATGTCCAATATATGGTCTTAGGATACGTACAATTGTAATCAATCGGTTAATGCATAATTAATCGAATAAGAGGAATAAAGGTCATTAGGCAGTAGCCCTAAATCGACATTAGGTATGAAAATGAAGTATCCATTCCCTATTGCTCGGGCTCCGTATTCGGCCACATTCCGACTTTTGAAAATTTAACGAGTTTGTTCAAAATAAAATTATGATTTCCCGTAGGAGATATCCCGGTAAGATTAAGGGAATGGGGAAGGCGCGTCCGAGGGACTCTTAGGTCAGAGCGGAATCGACGTATTTTAGCTAGCGAGCGTGCGATGCTGCATCGATCGTGTCGCAACGTTGCGTCCTTCTTTCTCACTCACTTACTCACAAGCACGCACGCTCATTTTCTTTACGGATATACATATTGCCATTCTTCACTAGTGATACGGCGATCAAGGGAACGAAAACGTAATGGGGCCGACCCTTTTTTTCCATCTACGAGGGTGACAGAGTAGGAATTTCGGTCCAAGTAAGCTTTGAGTGTAGGATGAAGGGACATTCGGTCAAATTGCCTAAAGTCCCACTTTATTTCTCCACCCTACTCTCCCTCCTCATCCTTCATCATCATCATCATCTTCTTCTTCTTCTTCTTCTTCTTCTTCTTCTTTTGTCACATTATTTATATCTTCATCTTTTACATCTTCTCGTTTTCTTTCTCTTTCTATGGTCGATGATTTTTCCCCTTCCTATATAAGAAACCTTACAATTTCATCGGAAGCATGTAGTTTTTGCTACTTTGTACGAGTATTTCATGAGAAAGAGAGTTAGTGTGAGGGGCGTGAAGGAGAAGGGAGGAGGGAAGCTCGAGGAAGTGCCTGAAGAATGTTATTTTATGATACTAGTCAAAAGTTTTAATTATTTATTTGTCTTTAGAATTTATTTGCACATTGCCTCTAGCATCGTGGCTTATTTCTTTAATAATAAATGCTACATTTTAGCTTTGATAAATAGTTTATTTAATAATATTTTCAAATCAAATTAATGATCCTCGGTTGTCTAATAAAGCATAATTTATTACTAACATTATCATTAATAGTGATTTTACGCATCATTTATTACTTTCAAATAAAATAATAATCAAAATAACTATAAGTATCGAGGTACCTACTATACACGAAATATTCATTTTTATTAAATATTCACTTTTTGATCGTTTTAAATTAACGATTGTTAATATTATATTTGATAATAATAATATACTATAATATAAAATAGTTTGTGTGTTATATTCGAGCTCGTAATATATCGAGTAAGCAAATTTTGGCGCATTTTAATTATCACTTTAAATATAATATGCTTGTAATAAATTGTAATAATAAGCATTTTCTCATTAAAATAAGAAAGAAAAACAATATATCAAACATATTAAACAGAGACTGACGATGAAATTGTTGCTGAATAAAATTAAATGTAAAAGATCTTTAGTCTGTCGTACGAAAATACCATTTGCAGCTTTATCCAATATTAAATTATTTTCGTTTTTATATGCTGCGTATAACGAGATTAATTGCATATAAAACTTTGTATGAAATTACTCTATGCGTGTAAATAAAATGGTTATGCGCGTTTTTCGGTTTCGTTTATTAAAAGCACGGGAAACATAATTAAAAGGAACCCGATGTTTACTTCAATATTGCGAGGCTTATTGACTTTTCAAAATTAAAGACACGAAATAACGCTCTTTTATTACATTATAAGCGCGGGTTTGCTCTTTTTAACGAGTAGCAATGTATATCCATTTTTTTTTCTCAAGGAGATTTGTTCGCGCAACAAACGAAAGCTTATTCGTTGCAATTTGCATTCCCGTCTGTTATTAAAACCTGTATATTTCCTTGCAAGTCGAAAAAAACAACAGTAACAGCAAAAAACAAAAAACAAATCATAGAAAGACGGAAAGAAGGAAAGAAAGAAAAAGGAAAGCTTATCGAGCGGCAAACCTTGGAAGGAAAAACAACCGAATGAAGACGAAAAAGTGCGATCACACGATACACGCAGGCTTAATGTCTAATATAATCCCATGATATTCGGAGTCGAAGAGTCAATTAAAAAGTATCCACGGTACATATTAATTTGTGTAATAGAGTCGCAGGGGCGGGGGGGGGGGGGGGGGGGGGGGGGGGGGGGGGGGGGGGGGGGGGGGGGGGGGGGGGGGTTTAAGAAATAGTGTTTTCCTTAATAATAACGTGGTAAATAGTTGGTTGAGGTGGTGATATTTTGTATTTTCGGAAAGTCCATTGACAAGATAAAGGAAGGCAGGCATTAGCGGGCAAGATATAATCGGCGCAGGCATATTCCTCGGCTTCGATCGCACGTGAAGCCAATGGCGCGGAGTGTAGCGGGAGCCTTGACCTCGCTTAAACGCCGCGTCGACTCGTGCGACCTGTGGCCCCGCCGAATTTAGGGCGTCGTTATAATCGATTTCGGGGAACGGCCAATCCGGCGTCGGCGCTTGTCCTTGTCCGCCTCCGCCGCTGCCTTTCCAGCCTTCCCGAGGGTAGCTCTCTCGAACTTTTCCATTTTTAGGCGAGAGGGTCGACGCGCGTCGCGCCACCTTCACATTTTTTACTCTTCACAACCCCTCGCCCCAACTTACGCCCCCTCACCCTACTCCCGGTCTTAGGGAGATGGGTCACTATGAGGGCACATGACTTCTTACGCTTCTCTGCGATTTTATTAGCGGCTGCTTTGCGGCTCTTGCCTCGCCCCCATATCTTCCCATCAGCCCCTATAACTTCTTTTCGCTCAAATTATCAATCAAGTTGATTATCAACCATGCCGAACGTGAAGGACCCTGAAATATCAACGTACATTTAACAATGCATTACTCTTAAAATATTACGGCCTATTTTTTGGCAATAGATGCGCAACCTTAATCGAGTCGAAAAAAAGCCCTCTCGTTCCCTTAAAGATCATTCGATAAAATTTAGTTAGCCCTTTATCAAAAAGGTCGCGCCTAATTATCGTTTCTTTACAAACTGCATTAATTATTCAAGAGACTCTCTTTCCAGCCACGCGATTAATGAGCACGCAAAGTCACGTCTGACACTTATGTACTCTGCACCCGCACGTGGTGCTCAGAAATTCTAAAAGGCCTATCGGCTCTCGCTTTCCCTAACGAATCAACCCCTCTCTAATACACCCGAGCAACGACTTTCGCTACTTGGCTGAATAGATAGATATCCGACGCCCACATCCACGCACCGCGCAAGGGCAGTAAAATCTCCCTTTTTCCGCATTCCAATAGCATCGCGTCATACCCAACTCACTTCTTACCCACAATCGTTGGCCAACATTGTGCGAGGGCGCGGTTCATTAAAGCCAGATCAGCCACCACTTGGCGTGCAATGCACGACGAAAGTACCGAAGGGTCAGCGCAGCCCGCAACCCCGTACGGTCTCATCAATTACCATAATCAACGACGACGCGGGTTACGACTGAGGCCACGCGCTGCCAAATCGTTCCGCTAACCAAACCATTTTTACTCTCGAGTTGCCGTTGTGAGGAGTTGGGCTCGGGGGAAGGGAGGGGAGGATTAGATCCGAGGTTTCACCTTGGGTTGAACCGGGAATTGAACCTGGGGTTCGAGCCTTGGGGGCCGAGCAGAGAATCAGAGAATCGAAGAATCGGGCATGGGTGGAGGTATCATAATAGTCGTGGCGTTGAGGAAACCGCCGCGAGGAGGGGACCTTGTGCCGGAAGAAGTTCGCCCGCTTTTAATAAAAAGACAGAGTCTATTCGTGTTATCGCTGGCTAAGGCGGACGTGCCGCCGCGCAGTCCAGGCTGAATTTACTCGGCCTCGCGCGCATCGCAGCCGTTTTACCTGCGCATTACTCTCGATCGCTGCCGGGTTGGCCGGGCTGCCGGGGCAGAGAGGTACCGGCGATACACAGAGAGAGAGAGAGAGAGAGAGAGAGAGAGAGAGAGAGAGAGAGGGAGAGAGAGGGAGAGAGAGAGAGAGAGAGAGAGAGAGGTCCGCGTGTCGACGGACGCGACGGGGCGTCCCGGGGGAGGGGATGGGCCGACGGCCGAGGGGGCGGCTGCCGCTCCCTACGAGAGCCCAATATTGCAGGCGCAGTTGGCGGCTTTAATTCGCGATAGCCTCCTCCGCTCGACAGCGCAACGTATCGCGAGCGGCAACATTTTACGATGCCACCGCGCGAGTTCATCACGGCTTTTTCTATATACAAGCGGGGTACACTCCCCCCTCCCCTCTCCCCCAATGGAATTTTGGCGCGCGAGTCGGCTAGTCGCGCTCGCTAATCAACACTCTATTCGCGAGTTTTGCGTACGCACCGCGCGACAAGTGGGAAGCCATCTCGATACGACTGCACGTACATTCTCATCATAGCTCGTTGTAATCGCAACGGTCGGGTGCGATTGTGAGAGCGACTCTTGTGTTGGTAAATAGGCGAATTGTCGATCGATAAGAGACCGCCCCGCGTTTCATTTACGAATCACTTTTTGCCGGACGCACGGATATCTTCCAAATACGCCATTAGTTCAACGAAGAGTGAGCGAGTGAGCGATTGTGTATGCGTGTGCGCGCCTGTTTTGTCCGTGTTTGAGCGAGGGAGAGAGAGAGAGAGAGAGAGAAAGAGAGAGTGCGTGCTTGTCGTGCGTGCGCGCGCGTAGGTGCGTGTAGGTAAATATTGAATATTCACCCCGTGGAGGAATAATGCCGTCAATGGAGTCGCTGCTACGTCGTAGACACTGTTGAAGGCGAGTCTCAGCGTCTCGCGGATGAGCGATAAAAAAGCCTCCAGCGCGTCGTCCCTAGGAGTCGGGGGAGTTTCTAGTTATTGAACCGCGGGTTATTTTTTCTGCAGGTGGTATGCCGCGGTTGCAGCCATGATCGGAGTGCCACTCGGGTGTATCGCCCGGTGGTCAGCATCCAGAGTGCCGCCACGTAACGGCTGCAGCAGCAGCAGTAGCAGCAACAGCAGTAACGAGAAAAGCACGCGGTGACGGCTGACGACGACAGTGCACTATGGACGTCCAAAAAAAGTTCCTGTGCCCCCGGTTGGTCGACTATTTGGCCATCGTGGGGGCCAGGCCACCGCCGCCCCCTTCGCGACAGCCAATTCAGGTACACGAGTCCGTTGATAGGCTTACTCGATTACGAGGTGACTGGGGACGCCGAGCATCGTTGTTGCTCCGATCGCGCCAGTGACCTCGGACGTCCGTCGCCGCGATAACCGCCGCTCGGGTTTCTCGTACATTAGCCTTCCGGCGTACGGGCCGAAAGCCACTTTGCTTCGTTACTACGACCTTGGAAAAGCTGAGGTGCCGGCCTACCAATTATTATCTCGTCTGCCCGCATTGGGGCTCTCTCAATGGATTGCTCAGATTTTAATCGATATAGCTTTACACACGCTGATCAATGTGTGTCGACGGACGCACTGGCCAATGCAACCGAATATAAATTTGAATGTGCACGATGCTTCCGGGGAGAAGAGAAAGCTCGCTTAATTCGGCTGGCTGCGCATATGTCCGGCACTCTTACTTACCATTATTGATATGCTTGTGCAATGGTCATTCGTACGTTGCAAAGATTGAAGGGAAAGGGAAAATGAAAAGGAAACAAAGAAAAAGAAAAGATAAATAAAGACCGTAACGAGTTTATATTTTCACTGCGGTTAAACGTTCCTTCCACCTCTAGAATTCATCGTCTATGTGTTACTACCACACGCTTGCTTAAGTACAGTGTTATGGGTGTGATATTATGCAGTCGATACTTTTTTAACTACTTCATTTTCATTGGCCTTAAAACTATATATGGGTTATATCGTATAACTGTCCTTGATTTATAAAGGTTTGCAAGTTCTTTTAAATTCTAAATCTCCCATAATAAAGTGGACCAATTTTTTATGACACAATTTCAACGCGACGATTAATTAAGATTGCAAAATAGTAGGAATACTTTGAAATATTCATATTCGTAATGTTAGTGAAAGAATATTCAAAATTAATAAATATTTTGTGATTTTGAAAAATATAAAACGTAAGGACGATCCTCCGCGCCTAAAGTTATCGCTCCAGTTAGTATACAATTTACACTTTTATTATTTTAAAATGTTTTGCGTGTAAACTTATATTATAGATGCAAATATATGGGATAGAGTGTAAAAAGGTTCGTTTGAATGAGCTGAAAATCGTCATTTTTTTTTTAAAACTTCTTTTATAGTTGCTCAATTGCAATTGTAAAATTAACTCCTTGTTAATATAATCAGCTTTTAAACTAACTTAGCCTACAAATATGCCATTAAAGAGTTTTTAAGTTACTTTTTAATTGTGCTATATCGCCTTATTTAAGCTACAAAAAAAAAAAAAAAAAACAGAAAAAAACAACTCAAAGACTAAATTAAATGGAGGAAGGATCTATATTACTAATTTAATAAATACATTTGGTTCCAAATAAAAATAAGTTAAAATTATTACAAGGTAACATGATGGAAGATAATTGACAATTTTTGTTATTTTTTAAATAAAATTCAATTAATTATGTGAAAAAAAATTAAAATCAACTGTTGTGCTTCTCTGAATTATTATTAAATTATTAATTTAATATCGCAATCATAATTTTGCCGTGCATTCTTACCGCAACGATTTATCGTGCTGAGCATCGATTTTGCAATATTCTTTGATCCAAACGTTTCGTAATTGATAATATTAATAACGTGAAATATTCTTTCGTTGCTTAATGCCCATATAATGATAGATTAATCCATGTTAATCCAATGTTTAATAAAATTTCGATATTGATCGTATGTTAAACATAATTTATTCTACAAAGCATAGTCATTGTATTTGAAATTTACACGAATAGTATACTTTGTTGTTATCATTATTTGACTTACTGATCGTTATTTGGTATAAATTTTGTCTGCCTTGAGTTACCTACAAACATTAAATATAAAATTTACACGCGCGCCCACACACACGCACACGCACACGCGCCCACACACACACACACACACACACACACACACACACACACACCCACGATGAATAAAAATTAAAGGATTTTAATCGAGAGTTAATACTTACATTAAAGCATAATTCAACGAGAGATATTCTAAAATTTCAATAATTACATTCTAAATGAAATTTCGCATATTTTTGGATCGATTGATTTCTGACAGTTGTAAGTCGATATAAATGATCCAAACGATTTTATTAGTTAAAACATGTCTCTACAAGCGCAGTTCACAATCACTTATTACCTATTGAAGATGATGTGATATTACATTCTGTTATTAAAAAGTTTAAGCTCAGCCCTTATCTCCTCCCGATTCAAAAAAGCTCACCATCAGTAGTCCTATAGCGACTGGCCGTCGCCAGCCAATTCAGACGAAGCTTTTTCAAAATCTTAAGTAGCTTGGCTTTGCTACATCATGCCTATGTATGCATAAAGTTTTCGGTACGGGTCGAGTAAGCACATGTAATAATAATAATGCGCATCGAAGCTCTCTCCTGCGATTCGTAGACTATAGCTTTAAGTTCAGCTCGAACGGGCCTCCCTCGAGCTTTGCCAGCCCCTTTCCAACCACCTAAGCTTCCCATTTCCTTTGCCGGCGCGCAAACTACGTTTGATGAAGCGTTCGCACTTATTTCTTTTCCGTACTTCATAAAGTAACGGGGATGACGTAGTCGGTACCATGAGCCGCTAATCCGAGGGCCAATTAAAGCAGGGCTGACAATTTCTCAACTAATGGTCTTAGAAAGGCTGAGTCAAAGCCATCGTTCAAATATTTTCAGCTTTTTTACGTTTATATAATAAATAAATATCATTTGCTAAGGCTGTTGACGCGATTCGTATATGCTTAATATCGCAACTTGATAATACGCGATAAAATGGAACTTTAAAATATTATTTTTGTAGTAGTATAACTTAATGTTAAGGCATGGAAAGTTAAAAGACAATAAGAAAACCTCACCGAGCACACGTTCTTATATATAATATAACCTTATTAATAAATTTCCTTATTATTTATCATCATCGTCGTCGTCGTTATCATCAACATTATTATTATTATTATTATTATTATTATTATTATTATTATTATTATTATTATTATATTGTGATTATTACTATAATTATTAATATTGTTATTATTGCTTTATCATCATCATTATTATCATCATCATCATCATCATCATTATTATTGTTGTTGTTGTTGTTATTATTATTATTATTATTATTATTATTATTATTATTATTATTATTATTATTATTATGGTACTCAATACGTACCTACACGTACAATGTTGTATTTTTAGCTCATTATCTTGGATGATGTTATAGTCGTTTGCACACGAGTCGGCGTGAATTTATAGGTTAATATTAAAGCGTAGCTTGTGCTCTCTCACTGGACTTATGCATTTTTGTATTAAATATTTATTATAATGTAAAAATAACTCGAGTAAAATATACGTTTTATTGATATCCTTATATATTGGCTAAGTGATATTAACACGAAATATTTGTTACGATACTATTAAATCAATAAACTTCCATTTATTCGTTACTTTTACACGAGCAGGAATTTCCATTTTTGACAATTTGAAATTATTTCTTTATTGTTTAATAAGTGATATGTACAAGAACAACAACAACAACAACAACAACAACAACAAAAGGAAATATTAATATCCTGTTTTATTAGTCTAATTGTTTTACGTACATTTTTTCATTTTATTTTCTGTTGCGAAATTTTATAATTGACACATTCTATTTAATTTGCCATAATAAAATAAAATTTATTAATACTTATAAATTCGTATATTTTAGTTTAAAATTTGCAAATATGACTCTTCATGAAATCACGCTCACATGCTTCGTGACTCTATTCGTGCATTTTTTTTTCTGTTCATCTCACAGTGATGAGCAAACAAAGTCATATAAAGTTTGACTTAAGTAAAGTTCAAGCTACTACTCTTTTATTCCTTATCCTTGCATTTTACGTCGCATTTTAGTATTGCCTACGGTAGAAAAAATTCCTGGTCAAGAGCGATCGAACTATGAAACGGAAGTTTCGCGGTTATTGTTGATTAGAAAGAATAATTTGTATTATTTTATGCGCATTAGGTAATTGTATATGATAATTCGTGCGATTCACAGCTCATGTTTAAGAATAATAACTAATAATTTTGTCAACAGTAGTGCGAAAAATTTTTTAAATGCAAATCAACAATTACAATAACGTTGTTTCATGCTATTAAACATATATTTAGATCATGCTCATTTGATAGTTCCTAGGAAATAAAATGCGAACTACCTATTTCATATCGTTGTCATGCTTATCTCAATAATTATTCAAATTAGTTATAAAAGCAGTTGGGGGTAAAAGTCTGTAAGACACGCAAGGTAGATAAAGATCTTAGGGAACGTGTAAACAAGTGTGCAACAATGTTATCATTTAATTGTGCCTATTAACAGAAGCTCGTCGATTGACCCCGGAAAAGCTCAAAGTACTTTTGCGCAGGTTCCGGAGCTGTTACGAAGATATCCGGTAGAGGATCACGAGGACTTTCCCCTCCCTCTCGATATGGTGTACTTTTGCCAACCCGAGGGATGCAACAGCGTCGGTCCCAAGCGACAGGCACTGCGTGAAGCCACTTCCTTCACTTTCACACTCACCGACAAGGACTCCGGTTTGTATAAACATGTCATAAAATCAGAAATTCCGCTAGTTTTATAGTCTTCGCCACGCGACCCTTTTCACTTTACTTTGCGAGACCAAACGCTCGGAATTTTTCGAAGACTTGTCTTGCTCAATGATCGTGAGTAATATTTTCAGTTTTAATGAATATTATAAAACGACGAAATTGGTGTTTACAAACGGGCAAGAAAATTTAATTTTAACAATAATTCTTTCGTAAACAAAGTTTAATTAAGAATAGTTTAACGAGTAAATTTATCTCTATTACCTATGGCTACATCTCAATAAAAATTTTAATAATTCAAATTACATTTTAAATTAAAAATATTTAAATTTCTATGCTGATATATTTTTATATAAGAATATTTAATTTCCACTTACATATTAGCGCATAAGTTTACATAAAATTAATTGAACGATATGCTGTTTCTAAAAGGTATTTCATTCATTTGCGTTAATTAATAATTTATTGTTCTCAACTTACTTATTAAAATAAAAACAAATAAAAACAAAAACAAAAACAAAAACCAAAAAGAAGATATTATTGGCATTTTATTCGAAAGTTTCGTTATTACTTTAGTTGATTTTTCAAGGCTACATATCCTTGTAATATAATTAAAAAGTTTATTGTTTAAATACTTTTTATTCATATTATATAAATAAAATTTATCGTTAAATAAGTTTTAAAATGCAACGTTTACAGTTGCCTAAAAATATTTTTAAAAGGATTATTCGCGCTCATTGGTTAAAAGATTCGTTTGCCACTGGCTGATAGGACCTATTAATTTTAGTGTCAATGCATTAAAAAATATAATACAAAAGTCTCATATTGTTTAAGACTTTTTATTAAAAAATATTACATTATTTTTTAACGTCAAAACCCGACGAGGAATAAAGAATGTAAAATATGAATTAACGATTTTCTATCCTTTTTAATTTAAATATCACTATTTAAATTAGTATATTCGTTAATTTTTATCATCTATTTATTGCTGATTATTTTAAATTACTAACAGAACAAAATAGTGCAAGTTTATAAGTTTAAAAGATATGTAACGCAATATTATATTTAAATGGCTTGAGTTAAAGTTTGAGTAGTTGCAACTGATAACCGAAATAATAATGGCAATTAGTACTCGTATGATCTAATTACATATTCTACCTTCTAACACACACACACACACACACACACAGAGAGAGAGAGAGAGAGAGAGAGAGAGAGAGCAGAGTAACTTATTAAAAGGTTCATGTATAAATGAGAAGACGTAATGGCGGAGAAAGCTAAATAAATGCGTGTGTTATCAGCATTTAAGCGATACCGAATAGAGACAATATTGGTACAATAGTCCATTTTCCCGACGCTTGCTTTTTATTTCTTACATAAAGTGAAAAATGATATCTTCATAGCAATTATTTTCCCCTACTGCAACAGGTAAGACCCGTTACGGAATATGCGTGAACTTCTATCGACCCGTGGAAAGAGTAGGAGGTAATGGAGCCACGGGAATTGGATTTCGCAGAGATAAGCAGAACACGAACTTTCGCAGGGAGAGCTGGAGAAAAAGCATGGAGAAAAGCTCCGATTCTGCATTTTCCAGGTTTCACATTTTCTTATTATAACTTCAATTTGCAAGAGCATTTTCACAATAAAGCGCTAATAATTCGCTTCTCGAGTATTTACATCGTTCGCCTATCTACACCGAGTTCATAAGAAAATTAATTCTTTTGAATATATATATATATATATGTATATTATAATAAGGTTGGATTTTTCTTGATATTTGCTGACAATGCATTATCGTTATTGACGAATAAGATCACTGCAAACATTCTCGCGGAGTGGGGGGGAGGGGGCGGGAATAAAATTGAAAAGACGCAATAATTAGTACGAGCTTCATTTTAGAAAATATTTTTGCACGAATGGCAGATCGTAATTACGGGCATTAGAAATGACGAGTACGAAACAGTTTCTGGCTCGCCTTATCGAGCCGAAGTTTTACAAGGCCAGAGTCCCTCGATAAAAAGGTTATTGGCCGCGAGTCTCCTTACTTATACGATTTATGTAAAGGAGGATCGTAGAGGAGCGGAAAATCGTAATGCACGACTAAAATTACCGCCCCGTGACTTTGCAGTGACCATAGGAGCAGCGTTCTGGGCCCCAGCGATTCGGAGAAGGACTGTTCGAGTGGGCGCCGAGACTCGGATAGTCCTCAGCACGGACAACCTCAAGTAGCCCATGCGGGGCACGCACCCCGACTTGGTATTACCGCTCCGAGCGCCGACAGCGAGAGCGGCGGCAGTCATTCGCCCTCACCTCGAGCCTCCCGGCGCCGACAGGTAAGTTCACCCGAATTTCAGCTCGGTTGTCCAGCACTCGCGAGGTTACCTCGAGCACCTCCGCGAGAACATTTTACCGTCAGCTCATACACTGTACAATGTCACAAGTCCTATAGTATTTTGAAAGTCCCATAATGTTCAATTCATATCTCAAATTTGCGCGGATGAACGTGTTTTCGCGGCTTATTTGAAAAGGTAAATTACGACTGACATACACAAATCTAAAATCGACACTTGACATAGACATGTTTAGAAGTTACTCTCACCCCTTTGCAGTTATTTTTACGCGGAGAAAACAAAGTAGGCTCTCCCTCCCCACACACTCGCACACTTTACTTTCAGAGTATTGCGGTATTTCGATGGTGGGGAGGAAAAAAAGAAAAAAATTTAATCCCACCAATCTGGCTTACCCTCGAATTGTTAGTGTATGCTGTTCGTCGACTTAAATCGAATATTAATGAGAAATGATTTTGTTATTTGAGAGGAGCATTAGCACCTCAAACTTATTAAAGAAAATTGGAGAAATTAAAGATTTTTTTATATTAGATACGATATTATGTAATTCGTGCAAATATTATGGATATTCAATTTATGTACGATATTGAATTTACGTACGATAGAGTAAGATACTTGGAGCAAAGCATACTTAGTTTATAAATAATTAATAGATAAGTTCATCTGTATACTGGAATGAAATATTTGTAAATTCTTTGTTCATATAAAATAGTCAGTGTAAAAATACACAGCTGCGTAAATGAAATTATATTATCCAAATCTGATATAAGATAAATTTGCAAAATTGCAAATATTTAATTTTTATTAATGCAACTATGTTTGTGTGATGTTTCAGAGAATACGGAATCATTCATTAACGTCCTTGTGCATAATTTCGCATCACCCATTCTTTTCCACATTCCGCGAATGTCTCTTTGTACTGAAGAAACTCATTGACGCGTGTAATGAGAGCTCATTACAACAAAAAGTCAGCACAGCCAGGCAACAAAGGTACATATTTATCCTACTCGTTAATTATCGATTAATGTAATTTAATTTGGACTCAAAATACAATTGTTTTACAATTATTTTATGCTGTGATAATATTATAGGAGGCAAAACATCGTATATAAGCAGATTAATACGTACGTACGTATGTGCTCGGACGCGCGTATGGGATTATGTATGCATGTGTTTTTATGCGTGCGTAAGTAAGCCATTGCGAAATGACAAATAGGTAGTGGTTAAGTGTTTACAAACAACATAATAATATTTCAATTTAATTATTATTAAATACCGATAATAAGCTATTGCTATTGTTTAATCTATTTTCACAAAAAAATTTTTAACGACATATTTCACGATAACCATCGAATCGCATAGTAAATTCACATTAAATCCGGACATAACTCGGCTCCATACATTCCAGGCACTCGGTATTATCCATAAAATTTATGACAATTATTTTATATATGATAAATAAATAGAAGAGTAGCCTTGATAATTAGAATGCACCCGCAAATTTTCAATAAAGATGACACTAATACACGGAATGTGGAAATTTCGCCAAATTATAATGGTCCTTATTCTAACACAGACAACAAAACTGAAACATGGATTTAATAATTCACAAATACGTTACAACACAACAAACACTTATTTAAAATTAACTTATTCGTGTAATTTATTTAATTAATTTTCCAAATTTATATAAATTTCTCGCTAATTTGATGATTTTTAGTAGTGATAATGTAGTATATGTGAATGCCTATAATATAAAACAATAATTTTCACTCTCGTGAGCACTAGTGAAATATCGATTTAGCAACAAAATCACTCACCACGGAAAGTTTTTGTATCTTGTTGTCTTTATAAATATGAATGTTTATTAACGGCTAAATATCACAAAATTTATACTATAAAATTGTATAATAAAAATCAGTTATATGATTGGGACGTGAACATTATTTAAATGTTTGGTGAAAAAAACGGTGTCGCAAATGTATCTGTATTTGGTTAAAATGAAGATTGCGCGCTGTAATTTAATGATTGGACATTTGTTTATTGCCTGTAACGATTCCTTATTTTCAGTCGTATTTTTTAATTGAATCGAATTTCTAACCGTTGGTTGGAAGCAATCTAGTATATTTGTTTGTTATAATAAGCGACGGTATTTACAATTTAAAATACAGAGCAAGATATATATATATATATATATATATATATATATATATATATATAGAGAGAGAGAGAGAGAGAGAGAGAGAGAGAGAGTGAGATATTGAAAACGACAATGAAAAAAGTGATATGAAATGTTATAAATTTGATAAATTAAATGCAAGCCTTTGACACTTGAATGCTCATTAACATGTTACGATTTACTTAATTCGCCTTAAATAAACGATAAATATGATTTCAAAAGAAAAAAAAAAAGAAAAAAAAAGAAAAAAAAGACGAAAAAAAGAAAAAAAAAAAGAAAAAAAATCAATGTGATGTAGTGGGAGTAAAGATACCTTATGGCCACATTTATCAAAAGTGGCTATTTAACGTGTGGACGTGTAAGTGTCCCGTTGGCAAGGTTTCTCTAATGAAAATGATGAGCACAGGGAGACGAACGTGTGGTCGGTGTTGAGTGGACAGGCCCTCGAGGGTGTCTCCTCCATCGTGCTCCACGACGTGCGCGAGATCGAGACCTGGATTCTGCGGCTCCTAAGTGCCCCGGTGCCCGTGCCCTCGAAGACGCGCGTCGAAGTGGAAATACTCTCGCCAAGCCTCCAGCCGCCCCTCTGTTTCGCCCTGCCCGACCACACTCGCTTCACCCTCGTCGACTTTCCCCTCCACTTGCCCCTCGAGCTGCTCGGCGTCGACATTTGCCTCAAGGTGCTCACCCTCATTCTCCTCGAGCACAAGGTACGTATCTACCTTCGACCGTCAAGCGTTATCACCCCCCGCTCCACCACCACTACCACCACCACCACCACCACCACCACCACCACCACCCATCATCTAGCACGAACATTCATTTCCAAAATTCACATTTAATCAGGTTTTGACGAGCGTAATATTTATTCATCTCATAAATCATCTCGTAATCTCGATTTTCATACACTTTAAGCCAGCCCTTCATTGATCTTAATACTCCCTTGTCTCGTCCAATTCATTACCACGCGATTGATGGAATTTTCCCGGTAGTCGACGCGCTAATGCTCAATTTGTTCATGATGCGAATTAAATTAAGACGATGACCAATAATAGCTAAGGTCCGACGAGAATTATAATCTCGTCATTCCGTTCGATTAATCCATTGATTATCCGAAAAAACGAAACACAGATATTGCTCCAATCACGGGACTACAACGCCCTGTCGATGTCGGTGATGGCCTTCGTGACGATGATCTACCCCCTCGAGTACATGTTCCCGGCCATCCCCCTTTTGCCGACGTGCATGAGCTGCGCGGAGCAGCTGCTCCTGGCGCCTACCCCCTTCGTCATCGGCATACCCGCGTCGTTTCTCCTCTACAAGAAGAATTTCCGCATACCCGACGACATTTGGCTGGTGGATCTCGACAGCAACAGGATAAGTCCACCGACGGGACTTGGCGACAACTTACCATCGCTTCCCGAGCCCGAGGGCTCTATACTTAAGAATCATTTGAGTCAGGTGAGTACCGACCCGGGATTTCATAATCGTATTATTCATCATCGCGATCATCTCTCTTAGGCGCGAAGCCGTTGCTCATTTATACGCTCGAAGGCATATGCAATTGGTATTCATAACGTTTGTATTAGCTACGAAAGAGTTTATTTACTGTCCTTCTATCAAGATTGTGCCCTCGTAAATTCACTCTCACGAGCAAATTTGCAATGTGCCGGCACGTTTTGCAGATGCCGGATATTTATTGACGCGCGCGAACTATGGATGTTTGTTAACGAAAACTCTAATACGAAAAGAGGCGCACACGTGCGATTAAGGAATCATCGTGGGAATTATCGCTATTTGTAATAAATCGTCATCAACTCGTTGTGAATGAGAATATTACGCTCACATTACATAGTAAACAAACGTTTGTACGAGTATGAATTTCAATTCAACTCGAAGGACTCTTAGTTTTCTTCATTCTACGTGTTTTCCAGCGATTCACTGCGTCCAATTATTAACTAATTTTACATAATTGAATAAGGAACGAGGAATGATACGTTGTTGTTTATTTTTTTTTTCGCTTTGTTCTTTTATTTGAGTACGAACGTTTTATTATTTCAAAATTTTTTTGAAATTTAATTTCGCCAACAGAAAGGAACGTCCCTTCTTCATACAACGAATGCGCACATTTAAACAAAGATTATCGTAATCAATAATGGAAAGAATGGATAAAAGTATCATTAAATTTAACGATTTAATCACGAATATAATCTTCGTACACGGTTGTTTATATTAAAATTTTGATAAACAATATATATTCAAAGAATTGAAAAGTATTTATCGATCAACGTAATATTATCGTAATTGACGTACAATTTCAATAAAATCGTAATTCTATGTTCAATTATCAACGAAATTCAAAATTCAAATATTTAAATAAACTAGAATTCGAGTGGAGATATAATCGATTAATGCCAAATTACTTATCATATGATTTATGAATTATGTGGAAATTAATGTTTATTTAATTGAACGTTAAATTTAATTACGATTACTAGATGTTAAAATTTTTTTTTTGTTTCATTCGAGTTTATTTTTGAATTTTGCTTTTCTTTTGAATAACATTTGACGTGTTCAAGGATAAGGAATAAAGTTGCACGAGCAGCGTTTTTTTTTATAAGTATAATTCATTTAGCGAGAGCCACGCATGACGATCAACGAGTCAGGAGCATAGGAATCCTGAAAAGCCGACATTATAAATGTTGGCTTAATTAATAGAAAAAGAAAAAAAATAAATAAATAAAGGAATTCGGTAGAATTTAAAGATGTAATCGGATTTAATGGGATGAAATAAAATTTTCTTGGCAAATAATGAAACTTCTCTTTTTGCTTTGAGTAACGTAAATGTACATTTGTTTCCAATCTTCGAGTCAACGTAATCTTTCAAATATATTCAATTACTCTCTTTAATACCAATGAAAATAATTAGTAAGTATGTGCTCTTATCTTCTCTCTTCTTTCTTTCCCTTCGCTTTCATAGGCAATGCAACTGATGGGTCAAGGAGGCAGCAGTGTAAATATCTTTACTTTACTCTTATTAAATGTTATGGCTTAATTCCTTACATTCTTCATTGATTTCTATAATTTTGCATGTACTTTAACGTAATTTGCTTTTCGTTCATAATTACTTTCCAATGTGTCTATACTTTCTCTATACATAGAATGTTTAACTAACTATACGTAGAGAAAATTATATTTAAATAGAGTAACTCGAAAATTGCATTAAACTAGACTAACACGATCGAAAATATTTGCATAAGTTCGGGAAGCCGAATTGCCAAGTAGTTTAATATAATTTGAAGTAGATTATTTATTGATATTAGCCACTATCGTAAGTATACGATAATAGCCTAGCACAGAGCACATAATTGGCAAGAGTGTGACTGAGTGAGTGAGTTAGTGAGGAGAGAGAGAGAGAGAGAGAGAGTGAGAGACGCTCGACTAGAAATACTCGCTAACGATTACCAACACTTTTAGGCCATGGGAAGTATGTCCGTAACTCAATCTCATTTGGGGATGCCACAGAACATGTCGTCGCAGCTCCATTCTCCAAAAAGCAGAAGAGAAAGCAATGCCTCCCACCACTCGACATTAAGGTACTAATTTCCATCGACGTACAAGCATTTTGAGCCTCTGATTATCAGGAAAATATTCGGCAACCAAATTTAATCTTTATTATCAACGATTTCTCACAAGTTCTTATCCGTGATTACACGGTACCAACAATGAGAAATATCTCTTTATAAGTGTCGTTATGCATTGTTATCGGATGAAAGTTCCGCGTCAAGGATATATTAAATTTTGTAATAAAGGATTCATTATTAATCTTTGGGATGACGAGAGAAAAATGTCAATCAGAGAATGTCAGACGATGATTTAGAGCGATAAGCCGGTGGTGTGACAATAGTATTTAATTTGAAGCGTTTGAGCCATTGTGGCTGTATTAATTGCAAAAGTATGCGTAAATAATGCGCAAGATATTGTCGGCGAAAGTTGACGAAACAAAGTGGCCCTCTAGGAGTGAAAGGGATTAAGCTCTTAAGCAGCATTTTCCCGTCCGTTTGCAGCGTCTCGTCGGCAAAGCACAGGCCGAGCCTGGACCATTCGGCCTCGGGCTCGAGTCCCCTGCACTCACCCGGGAGCATCTCGCCCCGACGGCCGTCGCTGGCGACATCGCACGGAGGCTCGGGCCTCGACTCGCAGAAAGTCTCGCCGCAGTCGGGAGTCGGCAGCAGCGGCGGGTGCGGTGGGGGCGCTGGCCTCTTCAATCCATTCGTCTACGGCAACGACGTGGACTCGGTGGACGTGGCGACACGCGTCGCCATGGTGCGCTTCTTCAACTCGCAGAATCTCCTGGCGAACTTCAGCGAGCACACGCGCACCCTGCGTCTCTACCCCCGCCCGGTCGTCGCCTTCCAGATAAACTCGTTCCTGCGCTCGCGGCCCCGCACAAGCGTCTTCCTCGACCGTTTCGCCAGAACGCAGGCGGTCGAGTTCCTCGCCGAGTGGTCCCTCACGCCGAGCAACGTCGCCTTCCTCAGAGTCCAGACGGGCGTCTGCGACCCCGCCCAGATCGGCGACAAGGCCAAGTGGTTCGCGCCCAACCTCGAGCCCATCAGCTTCCCCGTCTGGGATTCCGGGAGCTCACTGGCCAACGCGATGAGAGCCATGAGGTCCTTGGAGAGTCAGCCGACCGATGAGAGCGGCTCCGACACCGAGGGCGCCGAGAGCACCAGTTCCTCCTACTCATCCCTGAGCGACTTCGTCTCGGAGATGGCGAGTTCCGACCTCTCGCCCAGTTAGTGACGTTCTCTTTAACTTTATATCAAGCTTTCATCCCTCCCCCCTCCCCCTCCACAGCTGGTCGTGATCCCGTCTACGCGTTTCCTACAATATCGACTTAATTATTGCATCGCATCTTCTCCGACGCTCTACCGTCGTATCAACGGTTCTTAATTAAATAGAGAGCGTTTATTAATTAAATAGAGAACATTGTTAAGAGTTACGTATAAAAGTGATATTATTTTTCGCTTCGTCCGTCGGTTTAACGAGCGTGAGCCTTAACAGAACAATAATTCAATTCGGCCGTGATAAATTGATTTTCATATCTAACGTTAATGTTTTCCCGAGGGAATTCACCTATAATGACGAAAGGACTCGTCTAATAATTCATAGGCACGAACAAAGACGGACGGGATATAGGACAATCGGTAAATATTCGGGTAAATTCGCGTATACTCTATCGTTTCCGAACGATACGAGATTAAAGCTGTGGGGGATAATATAATGTCGGTTGTAAGTCCTCGTTGAAAGTGGGGCAAATGTGTATGTAGCCTTGAAGGGTCAGGTAGCCAAGAGAGTAGAGATACCTATCCGACTCGACTAACGCAGCTCCTTGTTTGTTTCTCGCCCAAAGTGACGCATCCGCCGCAGATGTCATTGTCGATCGACGTCCGCAGCATCTACAAGCCTCCGAGCTCGCTGCAGTACCCGGGAGTGGAAGAGGAGTCGCAGACGCGAGCCGAGAGTCCTCCGAGCACGTCGTCCAGCCACAGCGACCTCAGCAGTCCGAGCTTCAACCGGGACTCGGAGATCGAGCTCGCGGCCAAGCTCGCCGAGAGTTCCCAGACGACTAAGAGCGACAACGTGAGTATTGTTGGTCCGCCGAGCTTTCGAATCTCGAGCAGCGGTTTATCACTCTCAGTGCCGAGTGGCTTGCGCCACTGTGCCACTCCCCTCGGCCCCTTCCCGCCCCTTCCCACGATACTACCGCACACATACTTCAGTCCCTCCACCCTATACTTTCTCACGCACAAGTACGCCATTATCGTACTCATTGTGTTCGAAATCCATCAGAAGCTTGAACAACCATTGCCGCTCATCGACTACGACGCGCCCTTATATATATAAATATATATATATATATATATATATAGCACACACTTGTCTTGCACCTTTTCACCGTGTTCTATTTCTCACTCTCACTCTAACTCAGCCTCTCTCACCCTCTCTCATCTTCATACGTCTATGCAAGCGCTCAGCATATACGTACTGTTCCTCTGTCAGAACTTCAGCTCATTTTATTTCTCATTTATTTGATTGATTGAAATTAACGATTGAACGGTATATTACTTTCTCGAATCTTCTCTTAAAGCCTTTGTGTCGCCACTGAATTAAACGTGTAAATAAGTATAAATAAGTCTCGAGTGAGCTTTGGAAATAATTGACTGGTTGGAAAATCTTCGTATGTACAAGTGGCCAGAAAGAAGTTTTCAAATATTCAGAAAAAAACATCTCATGGCACAACCATTGTCACATACATAATTGCTTCGTTAAATAGTCGTGATGAACATTTTCTTAAATTTTACGCTCATTTTATGTTATAATAACCAATCGATGATGTAAAAGTACTTAAAAAATAAAAGAAATTTGAATTGGTTTCGATAGTTGTCGCATAATACGGTATGTGACCAAAAGGATTACTGTAAACAGCTGTCAATTAAACTTTCACAAAGCCTGCAGACGCGAGTGCTTAATACGCGCTCCTATGTGGATTGTCTATTGCATCGGCCACTTTAGATTATTACGAGTTAGTAATAATTTTAATATTAATTATCGTATGACGATAAATCCGGACTTTCTCCGCACTATCTACTAATGCCGAGAGAAGCCGTATAATTCTCTTGTCTCTTGTCTCCAACTCTTTATCTTTCCCCATTTCTGAATATTACTCTAAATGCGTGTTAGGCGATCGCAGCTCAATGCGATTAGTCGTTCTGAGAAATAGAGGGGCAAGAAAAAGTGCAAGTGAGTGGTCGCGATAGCAATGAAATTAAAACAAGCAAGATAAAGGCATAAAGCGAAAATGAGATAATAGAAGATGGATTGCCGGACGAGCCGAGCAGATGAAGATAAAACGTAAATAAGATAATAAATAATGCTAGCGATGATGAGGAGGAGGGAGAGGAGGAGAAAGAGGAAAAGGATAGTAATGACGAACCCGACGACGACGATGGCGTTCTTGTTGATGATGATATTGTTCTTATTATTATTGTTGTTGTTTTTGTTGTTTTTGTTGTTTTTTATGGTTGTTTTTGTGGTGGTTGTGATTGTTGACGACGACGATGATGATGTTGATGTTGATGCAATCCCCTAGGATAAGACGGAGGGCGGTAGTTTCGAGTCAGACTCCGCCTCGACGACGACGACACCCCGCACGATCCTCAGCGCACATAACAGTTCTATAGGCCAGGTCGGGATTGGCCTCAGCTCGCTCAACTCCTCCCTTGGCGTTGAAACGGAACCAATATCAGCCTCTCATCGGACTTCGCGCTTCTCTCGATCGATCACTCCAGTGAGTCAGCGAGAAAGCCAATAAGCGCATCTCTATCTACCTCTCGCCTATATGTCTCTCGACCCTCTTTCCCTATTCGTCTATACACTCTCTCTCTCTCTCTCTCTCTCTCTCTCTCTCTCTCTGTAGCTACCTCTATAACTGTGTATCTCTTACTCTCCCTCACTAACTCTCTTTCTCTCTCTCTCTCTCTCTCTCTCTCTCTCTCTCTCTCTCTGATTAATGATGAAATTAGTTGAGGGCGATTTTTTATCGAACGCCGTAACAAACCGCATTTCCAATTACATACCAATCTCAATTACAACCTTACATTTAAGAATTTTCATCAGAAAAGAATAAAGTAAACGTTGCTAGAATTCGATGAATGTTCGGATTAGCATTTGAATTGGCAACCTCCGTTATCCAAGAAGATATTTCAAATCTTATTGATTTCTTCAAAAACTCTCGGTAATTTCTTATTTTTGAGAAATTTCAATCGTTTACACCAGTATAGCTATTTATTTTCCAAATAAATGAATCAGGGCTAATTTCATTAAGTAAAGATATTTATAATGACTTGTACATGTTATATTAACGGAAATTATAATCTTTTTTTACAATAATTCTTTATTTACGATGATGATAATAATAATAATAATAATAATAATAATAATAATAATAGTAATAGTAATAGTAATAGTAATAGTAATAGTAATAGTAATAGTAATAGTAATAGTAATAGTAATAATAATAATAATAGTAATAATAATAGTAATAGTAATAGTAATAGTAATAGTAATAATAATAATAATAGTAATAATAGTAATAGTAATAGTAACAATAATAGCTTGTCAATTTTCATGTTACAAATTCATTCGTTTAGATTGCCTATCATTTCATAAAGTTGATCGAATGACATTGTTTTTACTTGCTTCAGTTTTGACGTTAGACAGATTTTAAAATTTCATACAAACTTCATCATTGTCATAAGAAATAATCTGAGAATATTAAAAAAAAAAAGTAATATATTTAATCGTTCACGCGCGACTTAAAAAAAAAGAAAAAAAACAGTGATGTTAAAAGATTCATTGCCGGTATTTACATAATTGGAAGAATAATATAATAATTTGTCTCACTTTTAACTTGACCGCTCAAATTTAACTGGTGGGTATATAATCAAGAATAATTCATTTTCTTTCCTTTCCACTCTCTTACTTTTTGCTTGGTGAATGCTACTTTCCTTATAGCTTATCTGCATCACAAATGTAACAATTATGACCTATTACATATTTACCTATTACACTCGTTATTGGTAACTATTATTATTTATTCTCTAATAATGCTTTAACTAATAAGACAATTTATAAATTCATGTAGAATACTTTAGAATCGTCTAACCAGAAGTTCGCGCAGAAACTTCATTTAAATGGAATACAAATTGTTATATTTAGAGATACTCTTCAGTGCTTTTAAATAAACTGAATTTTCGACGAAAGCGATTTTGACTAGAAATTATAAGAAAGCGTTACAAAAACGTTAAGGCGAATAAGCGAATAAGCATAAACTTTAAATAAGACATTACAAAGTACCAAAAGCATAAAATTCATAATCGAAAAAGCAAATGAAAAAAAAAAACGTACATATTTAAACTCCTTTTATTATTTTGGGAGCATTAATTTACCCGAATAATTTACGTTTGTAGAAGCTTGTTAATCATTAGAATATAAATGAGCATCGACCGAATGCTTTGGCACGTATACATAGCATCGATTAGGGATTATAGTAAATAAAAAAGAAAAAGAAACACCAACCTTTCCTTTTCTATCCCCGTATAATTTAGCAATCGCCTAAAGTCATTATATTCATGCATTTTACATACTCAATTTTTTTCTCCCTCATACTTTGCTTGAATTTTTCTTGCATGTGGCATCGATACGATTGTTAAGCGAACCCATTCTCTTGCATTTCTTTAATATCTACAGCCATACGATAAACAAAACAACATTTTGTAAAATATTAAGTGTCTATGAAAACAATAGAAATCACTAGTGTACTATTTATGTGTCGTTTATGAAAAATACTTCTTATCTATAATATTGTCTCTTGCAAGTAATTTGGGCATTTCTGCACGCATTGCAAATAAATTGTGATATAGGTCGAAACGCCATGAGAAAAAGCATCGAAATCTTAGCGCAAGATAGTCCGCTGCCATGGCACCAGGCTATTGAGCCAAATAAACCAATACATTTTGTCAATTAAGAGAACAATCATCTAACATAGGTTTTTTCTCAACGTACGACCCGGTGGCGAAGTAGCCCCGCTCTGGCCACCTTTTGCGTCCTTCTCCAGCTAAAGTGACAAATTTGTGGCTAGCACGGGGCTGACGTCGTGTGTATTCCCAGCAAGTACGATCGAAACTATTGTTGCATAGGTTCCGCCTATAAACCCGAGTTGCCTTCAGCGGCAGCCGAGCGTCGGTAACGTCCTGGCGCGAACCGGGAGCTTCGGCTCGGCGGCGAGTCCCTTACTGCCGAGGCAAGGCTCCACGGGTTTGGGCCAGCACTCGCCGCCCGTCCCCCGGCAGAACAGCGGCGGCAGCGTACCCAGGCAGGGTTCCCAGGGCTCGCTATTCGAGCAGATCGCCAGCCAGGCCAAGGACCTCGTCCGCGAGACCACGAGGCAGAGCAGCCAGGACGGCATTCTCGCCCACATGGATAAGGTGCGAACGAGGCGGTCGCAGTGGCCCTGGATACACCTGGGAGAGTGACACTTCCTTGCCTCCCCCCAGACACTCCTGCCCCACTCCATCATTCTTTCTCAAATTGACTCCAAATATGTTTGGATTATCATCGACCGGACGGGATTATTATATTTTTTGCGAGACTATCTCACAGTTTTCAAATAAGCTTCCCACCTGCACACTTTACAATTCTCACCTCCATAGATTCACTCTTCCAGCAGCTTATTTTACACAAATGCCTCTCTCTCTCTCTCTCTCTCTCTCTTTCTCTCGCTCTCTCTTCGTTTCATTCTTCTCTATTATTACGCAGTACGAAATAATACAATGGCGCTGAATAAATATTTAAACATTATATTCTGTGACAATTCATGTTACATCAATGTATTGTAACGGGCGATTATTTATACCTTTCAACGCGATTATCAGTAAACTCATATTTATTATTAGTAAAATATTTTCCTAAATATAATAATTATAGATAAAGGAAGTTGATCCTTTTTATAATCGTCTAAATCGTGTACCTAAAAACTTGCATACTTTAATCTTATTCAGTTATTTTACTTTTGAACATATAACATTAATAAAACTATATCTAATAAAATTATCCTAACATGTTGCTTTGGAATAAGACATTTTTTTATTAGCGAACTGTCGATGAAATAAAACATGCACATATAATTAAAAATAATTTTTATTTGCGTTGATACATTTATAATATATATATATATATATATATATATATATATAGGTAAATGAATCTGAATTCTAAATCATTGAAAAAAATATACCGAGTAAAAATAACAGATAGACTTTGAAATAAATTTTAAGAAAAAATATATATTTCTGTGATTATTGTTAGCCAAAGTTCCATGCAAAAACTATAATACGCACAAACACGCGCGTGCGCACGCAAAATAATTATTCACATTAAATTGTTATACATGTACGCAATACGTTAAAATAATTATGCAATTTAACTTTACAATCATTTTATGATTATGCGTTATTACTGAATTTAAAGGCAATAAATTTATTTACTTCAAGTTATTTATGAATTACTTTCTGTAAATTGATCGGGCAAATGTAAGTCTATTAAACATGAACGAAAACTCTTCAAATAATGCAAAATGTAATAAAATTGCTAAATTTATGCACAAAATCTATAATTTTCCCATTATTATATAGAATTATATTAAAATGTATAGTAATGATATTATTCAAACAATAAGTTATTGATTATTTGGTTAGATTTAGCTCAAATATTAACAAAAAGTTTCTGATTTAAATTTCTATTTTTATTTCGAGTCTGAATGAATTAGATTAACATTTAATAAATTTTAGTATTAAATTTTATTTCTTATCTATTATAAATGAATGGTATCGTAAATGGTAAACCTTTTTAGTTTATTCCGAACATTCAGTTATTGTACAAAATAAATCGAAAGCTAACTATCGCATTTTCATGTAAATTACAAGTTGTATGGGGATGTTTGAATATAAATTTATTTCAATTAGCATAAATATTTATTGAGAGCACACGTGCTAGTTTACAACCTCGAAAATCTTTATATTTTTCGGTTATATTTATGATTGATTTCTTTAATTTTCCCATAAATTTATGCTTTGCTGCCTTTTGTAACTTGACTCTAGCTTACATACTAAAAATTATTTATCGTATTCAAAGTGCAGAAAAGCCTAGTAATTATCCGTATTTAAACACCGTCTTGAACAATAATTCGTTAATCAATATTAAAATATCGTACGATTTATGGATGATTCTATGGATCGTTTAATTTATCCGTCAATTCAGCACTTTGCCATGTTAGGCCTGACAAGCCTGACGCACATAACATTATCAACATTATCAACAGCATAGATCAATATCTTATTGTAATTTTTAACTTTTATTTAATTTGGCATCTCGAGTGTACTTTGCCATTTTGTCAAGCATGTGTTTAATAAATTCTTTTAAAATGCAACGCAGCTCAAGCATCAAGCGAAAGAAAAAATTTCGGAAGCAGGAGAGGACAGTCTCTTTGCACCTCTTGAGCAAGTCAGTTTCTCCATTAAATTCTCTTTAGTATTTATCAAATTGTCGAACGCGTGCTTGACCGCTCATAATTAATATCACAGTTGACGCAACAGACGAAGAAGGCCATGGGCGAAGCTAGCAAGTCGGTGCAGGAGGTGTCGAAGACCGCCATCGAGGCGAGTAAAACTGCAGCGGGAGTCAGTAAGAACACTCTGGAAGACCTGACGTACGTCGGTAAAAGCACATTAGGAGATCTAACTAAGAGCGCTAAGGAAGTTGCTGCGAAGAAGGGCCTACTAAAGGTAAAAAATATCCTCTTCCCCAATTTATCGTAAATCTTTGCCAGTAACGAGGCGTAATCCCACCCATTGCAAAAATGATACACAACATTTGCCAATAAATTTCTCATTATCAACGAGTGTGAGAACCTAGGCTCTAAAGTCCCGAGTCTCAAATTCTTATTTGCCCAATGAAAACAAAGGATGAACATTCGTTCAACTCTGCGAATAATCGTCCTCGTGCACAAATTCTGTTATTATCGTTTGGCCAAACGTATGCTAACAATGACCTGGACTGACGCAGGGACTCGGAGATTCTCAGCAGTCGCCTCCACACTCGCCGCCATGCCTGTTGCAGCGCAAGGACTCGGGGCTGCAGATCGCGAACCCGGATGCGCGCACCGGGAGGCGGGAGATCGGCCGTGACTTCTTCAGCAACATCAGCAACGACCTCAATGGGATTGCCGAGCAGACGAGCAGTATGTTCAGCGGCTTCTTCGGTAGGTTCTGCGTGACGTGCATGCGCACGGGGAATTGATTATCGAATGACAATCTTCGGTGTGGTCTCGTCGACTCGTGCGATTAGCATTGATCGAGGCTCTTACGTGCGGATTGCCTTCGTATTTCGGGCGAAGCTGTTTCATTTTCGTGACACGGTCGGTCTTCGTTCTTCTACTAAGTCTCGATCCATCTAATTTGCATAAAGTGGTGAGAGTCTTATAGAACGTAAATTCATCGCGCGTATCGTAGATCGCGAAAATAGCTTATTTCACGTATTTCGGGGCTTTTAGTTTACAAACAAATCGAAACTACGATATACACGATTCTATTGTTTATTTATATATTTTTGTTATCTCGTCTTTTACGCACAAACGTGAATGCTCGTTCGTAATATGTAAATGTGCGCGTGCGATTGCGTGTTTAATGTTTGTATAATTTGTCGTTATTTACAGGAAATAAAAATAACTCCAGTCGAAATATCAACATTCTTTCGCAGACGCAAAAATCCAAAGAGATATCTCAAATATTCGGATCCTTCCCCAGAGGTAAATAAACATACGATTGCGCACTTTTGATGGGCCATCCAAAATATCTTTTAATGAATTATTTAATCGATCGATCAAACCGCGTCTAACTTTACTTTTTCACAATGCAGGCAGATCGAATCTCATCGAGGAGACGTCACTAATAAAGCACTCATCGTCGAGGAATACACAGGAAGAGCTGAGAAGGCAGCAGAATGCCGAAAGGACGAACACAAATACGGATAATCAGTCGACCCTGACCGAAGTAACGATTAGATCGATTCGAGCGTTTCATTAAAATCGTTTCGTAACGAGATGTAATAACATACACGGTGCCTCTAATTTTTTCGCAGCTCATTAATCAAGTGATGGCGGGAGAGGGCGTCGGCTGGCTTAAACTAAACAGACTGAAGAAGCTGATGGAGGACGAGAGCTATCGCGACTTTATGGTGACGAAGTTGAACAAGGGTTTGAACAGAAAAATCAGTCCCGACGACCATATCGACGATGTGGTACGTTCTAACGGACACATATACTCATCAACACACTCTTGACGCACAGAGCAAACTAACGTAAACTTCTTTATTACCCACCTGCGATTCAGTGCATCACGAAACCCGTCTACAAAGGAATGTTAAAGTGCCTTCAAGCGGTGGTGCACGGCTTAGCGCACACATATGGCAATTTCGGTCTGGGGGGTATGGCCTCTGTATTCCAGATGATGGAAATAGCTCATACGCATTATTGGAGCAAAGACCTATCGGAAAGTGGTTTCGACGGTTCGCTCATGTCACAGGTATGGGCGCCCTCGCTTTCTCCAATTGTCCTTCATTGACGTTATTAATTACCATAGTCATTGCATGATCAACGCTCGCTTGTATCCTCCCCTCGGCACGCCGAACATCGATTGCTCTCCTCACGAAAGCAATCACTGAAAGTGACGCACACTCGTCGAGCTGCGCACCTTTACAGTTCGAACAATTCAAAACTCTCAATACGCAAACTTTTTTAACTGAAACGAACATATTCTTGAATCACGACGTGTATCGCGACACTTTGATCGATCGCTTGCTATCGTTACTGCATGAAAAAAAGAAAGAAAGAAAGAAAGAAAAAGAAACTAAATAAATAAAAATTAAGAAACAAACAACAACAAAAACAAACAAAAAACAAGAAAGAAATGTTGCCTGCAATGTGCTGCATATAGTCGTTATGTGCTGTGAATGTTCGTGATGGAAACTGCCTACATAGAAACATATATTCACAAACAGGCGTCCAGTCCATTTGGCAGTAGAGAGAATCTCACGTTTCCTCAGTCACCGAATCACCCCGCATACGAAACGTCACGACAAACGTCTCATTTGCAAGAGCCACCGCAAGTTCGGTTAGATCGTCCGCTTTCGCAAACCAGCGGCGACGATAATCAGTCCACGACCGACATGTTCTTCGACATGTTTATTCGAAAAAATAAGAAATTCCTTAGTAAATTAACACCATTTGATACCGAGGTACGCTCACTATTCATATGCTAACGACTAATTACAACGTACGCGGCCATCAATGTATTCGTAAATGCCACTTGAAACTCCAATATAACTTGTGCGTAGCATCGCGTTGCTCCTAATCGATTCCTTAGTATACGTCCGCTCGACCGACTTTCAATAACAATAGTTATAACAACAATAACAACAACAACAACAACAACAACAACGACAACAATAATAATAATAACAATAATAATACAAATAATTATAACAAACAATAATGATAACAATAACAATATATACAAATAATGATAACGACAATAACAACGACGACGACGACGACGACGACGACGACGACGACGACGACGACAACAACACCGACAACAGCAAGGGTAGATGCCGGGGTAATGGTCGTGCGACACGACGATCACTACCACACCGCCCCATTCCTTATTGCTATCACTATCGCTATAAATGTATGTTGCATAATGAACAAAGTCGAGGAGCGGGAACGTCGGGGAGAGCAACGAGGCCTTATCGACCGACGGCGGCAGCATCACCACGAATCCCGTCTTTCGTCAAACGCACCAGGCGTCCTTTCGCAGCACCGTCTCGGACAGCGAGGTCGAGCAAAGCAGCGTAAGTACCTCGCCTCACGGCACTCACTACAACTCTCTCGTCGCGTCCTGGCGACCAGCTAATGGTCACTTTATAATCGACCGTAGTTCCCGCGACAACAAGCGAAGCAGCGGACGGTGAGCGTTTGGTCGGACAAGTTCGGTGCCGCGGGCAATGTCTTTATACCGTCGACGACGAGCCCGAGTCCCGAGACAGCGAGGACTTATCTATTCGAGGGCCTCCTCGGAAAGGAGAGATCGTCCCTCTGGGATCATATGCAGTTTTGGGAGGACGCCTTCCTCGACGCTGTATCGCAAGAGCGCGACATGATCGGGATGGATCAGGGTCCCGGCGAGATGATGGAGAGGTTTGCTCAATTTTTTTACTCTAAAACGCCACGTGTGCGCCAGCAATTGCAAGTCCCATTCATTTTCTTTAGCCCCTTGGTAGGTGGATTGCCTTTTTCTTTATTTACGAGGCAACTGAGTCCTTACCCGCATCCTGCCGAAACTCCCCTGACTCCCGCGATAATGCGAGAGTAACTGTGACAGCGTAACGATAACTTTTATAGGTACAAAGGCCTGAGTGAGAGCGAGCGGCGAAGATTGGAGCACGACGAGGACAGGCTCCTTTGCACTTTGCTGCATAATCTTACCGCGATACTGGTGATGCTGAACGTGGAGAAGAAGGACGTGAGGCAGAAAGTTCGACGCCTACTGGGGAAAAGCCATATTGGCCTTATTTATAGCCAAGAGCTCAATCAACTTCTCGATCAAATAAAAGATCTCGTAAGTTTCGTAATTCAAAGCTTTGCGCTTTTCTTACCATTTACATTGCTACTTAACATTGACATTTTCACTTTGCGCTGATGGATGTGCTCGTTCGTCTCAGATTCAGGCTCGATAAATTCTAAAAACATGTGTCTGCATAATTATGATGATTTAATACGATAAGATATATCGTGCTGGCCAACATTCGATTGTTTCTCTCTCTCTCTCTCTCTCTCTCTCTCTGTCTATCTATCTCTCGATCTATCTCTCGATCTATCTCTATGTATCTCTAATCACGGGCAAAGATTGCTAGAATGATCACGAGGCCAAGTTCGCTAATGAATCAAAGGGATCATGAAGCCCGCCTTGTCTCGATCGACTAAATTGCCTAAAATCATGGGCTTTCAGAGCCTTCTCCCGATGAAAATGACACTTGGCAATGACAATGACACTTGGCGATCGCTCTCTTCTCTAGCACGGCAACGACATCGACTTGAAACCTCTGACCTCGCGGCAGATGCACCGCCAGTCGTTCACGGTGCACTCGGGCTCGAACGCCGATGGCGATCTGCGCTTCCTGGAGGTGCGTCACGACGGGCTGGTGCTGCGCTCGGTAAACGGGGTCATCGTCGAGCGCTGGTGGTACGAGCGTCTCGTCAACATGACCTATAGTCCCCAGACGAAGGTGCTCTGCTTGTGGAGGAGGAACGGTGGACAAACTCAGCTGCACAAGTACTACACTAAGAAGGTGAGCCAACGGTCGGAAAAGCCCTCTTGGCTTTTCAAACTTTTCACCTAATTGAAGCTTCGATGCGCGAGTGCCCGAATAATTCATTAACCAAATAAGCCCCAACGAGCGATTTTGTGCATCTTTTAATCAGTTATCGTCATTGTCGTTCGATTATCATATTATCAAATTGTTGGAAATATTAAGCGAGACCATATTTGCCAAGTAGCGTGAAATAATAATTTTTGTAATGATGATTAATGATTTATTTACTAACATCGCTTTCACACCATAAGAGTACACATAATGCTCGAAATAGTAAATCAAGCATTCTCAGTCAATAAAACGAAAGATGCAAAAATTAAGCGAAACGACGTGAAAGAGCGCGCGATGGCAGGATGGGGACGCGAGGAGGGAGAGCGTTATTCGATGATTTAAGGGGCAGAAAACGTTGACGAGAAAATCCAATGTCTGTTAATTGCAGTGCAAAGATCTGTATTACTGTATAAAAGACGCGATGGAGAAGGCTGCAGCTCGCGGTCGAGGAGCTAACATGGACGTCGAGCTCGGTGGTGAGTTTCCTGTCCAAGATATGGTCACTAATCAAGGTGGCATCCTGCAGGTCTGCATGGAGGGTATCGGCCTTCTTTTTGCCAATAGCAAGGTAATGTTCGCCGACTCTTTTCTTTTATACTATGTGCACACGCACAGACATACATGCATATACGTATGTATTTATGTATGTATGTATGTATGTATGTATGTATGTATGTATGTATATGTATACATATACTTATCTATCTAACTATCTATTTATCTATTTATTTATCGATTTTTTTACCTATGAATCTATCTAATGTTTCTGTCTGTCTGTCTGGCTCTCTCTCTCTCTCTCTCTCTCTCTCTCTCTCTCTCTCTCTCTCTCTCTCTTTCTCTCTCTCGCAATCTAACTATCTGTATTTACCTATATCCCTATATATATATATATATATATATATATATATATATATATAATTATTTTTACCATAATTTTAATAAAATCCTACTTGACATGATTCTTGAATCCTGTAATGTTATGTCTCGACTATCTTTTATCTACCACAACTTTTTCATATTTTCGTTACGACTGCAGGCAGCTTTTCCGGTTCAACTTATATATACGGTATTAATTTTCATTACGTTATTATAAGATTTGCTCATAGAGAATTGTACAGTTACATCTTATCAATTACACATCAAATCATTTTTTATTTTTTTCTATATTAAAAAACAAAAACTTAACAAAACTATTGCCTTGAATATAAAAATCACAACCATAGTACCAACGGATATTTGTACAAATTATTAAGAATTCTCTATCACTTTTTATATCTTCAGTCAACTAACCTACATATTTATGTATATTTATGCTCTTTAATATTATAATATATAATATTATAATTAAAAAATATCGTTTTATCAATTACAAGTATAGGTTCATCACGAACGAGTGTTTTTTTTTCAAATAATTTAAGCTGCCCAAGTCTAGAACAATTGCTCAAAATAATTTCTTGTGTATCTCTTTCTCTTTTTATATTTATCTTATATTTACCTATTTTACATAATAATCGTTTACCGTCGTAATGGTGTTTCCCTGCATTTTATTACATATATATATATTTTATTTTATACTTTTATTTTATATATCTATTTTATGTTAAAACGCCAGTTAAGCTACGTAATTAATTGGGATTTATTAATGATTTAGTTCTCCAATCAGCAGTTTAATTTAATATATTTTTTAATTTTAGTCTTATTAATTTATTAATTTTTATTAAGAAATGATAGATTTGTATTCTAATATGTTATGATTGTATCACAACAATTTATTAATTTACTACTAATCAATCTATTATTTACAAATATATCATTTTCTTTTTATACTCTTTATGGCGAATTTTGAAATATTTTCTCAAAACCTTATTCACAATTTGTTTTATTTTTATGCGTATGCAATGAGGAAATTCAGCTTTACCGCTATAGTTTTTAACTTTTTAGAAAATTCTCTTTCCTAAGTATGCACCAACTTAAGGTATACGCTTATTATATTATATATATATATATATATATATATATATATATATATATATATAATATAATAAGCGTATACCTTAAGTTGGTGCATACTTAGGAAAGAGAATTTTCTTAAATAGAATACTATATAATACATTTATGAGAATTTTTGTGTAAAACAATATTTTTGTATGTGATTTTTACATGTATATATATATATATATGTATATATATATATATATATGTGTGTGTGTGTGTGTATTTAGGAATACATTAATATATAAAATAAAAGCTTTTGGGACAAGAATAAGTCTAATTATTCTCTTTTTAATTATGAATATAATTTACATTCATTTTTCAAAACTTCTTCTTTAATATTTCGTTCCACGTTTATTACTTTAATTATCGAATTTTTGCTCTATATTTTTCTTTCGTTTTAATTGCATTGATGCAAGGACCACTCAATATTATCTTCCATCGCTAACCACCATGAACTGCTTAATTATGTATATGTACGTACTTTATATCAGTTTTATGTAATGACTCTTCGAAGTGTATTAACGAGAACTAAAACACAACGATATTTGTCTTTAAATTAGACATCTAGATTCTTTGGAAGGAATAATAAATTATTAAATGTACTCAAAGCACACGATTTATAAAATATTTATATGGCTTAGTAAGTCAGCACCCGAATATTATTAGATATTTTGTTTAACATTACATCATTGTCAAATATCATTATAACCAAGTCAAATTTCACTCGACGAAGCATGAATAATTTGTAATATTAAAATTCATTGTCATTTTCTTAAATCTTAACTTTATGATTAAAGATAATACTATTGAGGTTTAAAACTTTTTTTTACATCGAAGACAATTTAGATTATCCTATTTTATATTATTGTCGAATAAATTACATTGATATAAGTCTGCAAATCGTTATAAATTTTTGTGTATTATCGAGTGATGGCAATTAAAAATTGTTACATATTTTTAATTTTGTTAAACTTTGATAATAGAAACTTATTAGAGTTTAGATATCTTTATTTTCTCTTATGCTTTATATAATATAAATATTATTATATAATATTATTATAATCTAACATTATTCATGAAATATTCAGAACTAAGTTTCTTTACTTATCGATTGTCAGACTAACAAAGTAAAAACGATATCATTGTATTCGGATTGAATAATAATAATAATAGTCTTCGTTGCTCAGAATAAATCAATTTAACAGTAGTCGTTCCTATTGAAATTATATGACATTTTAACAAAGATCAAGTCGAATAAAATCAATTTGCTAATGACAATAGTAAATACTTCGAAAAGTCTTTTTTCCATGCATATTAAGATCCTATTTCTTTTTTTGTTTTTTTTTTTTTTTTTAAATTAATTTCTCCTTTTTGACCTCGGTAACAACATTAAACACCGATTTTTTTTATTGATTACATTCCGTTTTTTGAGCATTTTTCAATGTCTTTATGCATGGAGCTCGATGTGCAGCTACAGTCACTTTTATCTGTTTTATATATTTTACATTATAATATATTATTATATACATTGTGCATCACATTAATCGAATTTTCATACATATTCATGTATATAGATATACCGAATCGACATACATTACAAGATATATACTTACGTATATATATACGTATGTATGTATGTACGTATGTATGTATGTATGTATGTATGTACGTATGTATGTATGTATGTATGCAGATATCTTGAAGGACGTGTTTTATTCATTATACAACGTGATGTATTTATATAAAGGCGATACATTTCTTTATAATTCAGTGTATTTTTAAATCAATTTTTCAGAAATCAATTTTAGAATGACGAAAAGTCCTCAGGCACTAATTTTTATATACTATCGATGATTGGAATTTATAATTTTTTCGCTCCTGTTTTTCTATTTTCTAATAATCTATCTCTTTTTCTCATTACTATTGTTTTACATATCATTATATATATTTATTTTATACACGATAATTCATTTTTAAATATACTGTAATACACATGAATATAATGTCTGTATTCTGAAATCTTATATATTGAATGCTGGATGCGATAAATTTCTTTTTATCATGGTCATATACGAGGAAAGTTTATTAGCTAGACATTATCTAATAAAGCTAAACATTATCGTGAATTTTATGATAAATACATAAATTTGTATCTTAAATTGATATCAGGAAAATTATTGATAACACAGCTCACTAACACCTTATGCAACACGAAAACATTCACTTTTTTTTTAATATGCACCCTAGAAACGAAGATAAAAATTAATTTTTTCTATAAAAAATGAGTATATGTTTGGTCAATAGGCTTTTCTCTTGGCTTGGGGAACTTTTGAGATGGTCCTTGAACAATGAATAAATAACCAACGTAATTGCTATTCGCGCTTTAATTCGAGCAAAACTCGCGATTTTCTTCTATGTAATATGAAAGTTATTTATCCATAAAGATACAAATCACAGTGGATCGGATTCTATATTTGGCATTTTTTCACGTAAGATGATCAATTTTTGTAATAGTTGTATAAGGAAAAAAAAATTAAACCTTTCGAATAATCTTTTATAAGATTTACAGTGAATTTAATCGGTTATCGATTATTAAAAGCCACTGAAATAATTATTTTTAATAATCGATAATTAATTGTTAGAATCCGTAGTCCTGTATTTAAAAACCATTTTTTCGATATTAGCAATAGCAATAAAATTAAACACAATGAAAATTAAAACTATTAAAAGTTTATACAACAGAATCTTGCCACGTATTTATTTCTTTTTATCAATATTTTTGTTGCCTTCAATTCTTTCTTTTGATCCTACCATTTAAATCTGTCGATCTCTCTCTCTCTCTCTCTCTCTCTCTCTCTCTCTCTCTCTCTCTCTCTCTCTCTATCTATCTATCTATCTATCTATCTATCTCTATCTATCTATATATTTTCTTTCTCTCCTCCCTCTCTTTCTGTTTATTCCTATCTTATGTTCTTGTTTTAATGTAAAATATGGTATATTATTGAGCCGTTTCTTTATCGTGATTACTAACTGGTTGGTGGATTTAATTTGAAATCTTCTTTTTTCTGTTTTCTTGACCCGTCCGTGCGTCGGATCATTTGCCCTTGGCTGTGTATGGGCAAGCAGGATTTCGAGGTACTATTAAAAATCTACTTTTTTTAATTGACACACGCTATTATATACCTTTGTATTACTTTTCTAAGTACAGAAAACTATTACTATGGTTGTTAGTTATTACATTGATTATATAATCACAACAACATAATTTAATTAAAAATTTTTATTTGTATTTATTGATTTTGTCGACGTTATTAATGAACGTTTATTATTAATTTATTCTATAATACTAATAATCATGTAATTTATTAGTATTGTACTTATTTCGGAAGTGCTTCTGTTCTTTATTTAAAACTGTTTTTTTTTCTTTTTTCTATCGTTTATTTACTTACATACGTTTGTGTGTATGTAAATTTTATTTACACACATACATATGGATATACACAAACACACGTATACACAGACACATAGTGAACTAACGTTTGCTTTTGAAATTTACTTGAGAAATGAAAATCGTGATTTAGAGAAATTTCAATGCACATAGTCCAATTATAGCATATGTAATTACAGTTTTGAACAATTATTATATTTAAGTATAAATTAGGAAAATTTGAAATAGATTTAAATATAGTAAAATCTAAAACTCAATTTATTAACAACAATCGATTTTCCTTTACTCACAAACAGGCATAGACAAAGAAGTGTTTCTCGAAGATTAAATAATTGCTTTTCTTTCAATATTTATTGGCGCTCGAACAAACTTATATTCAAAGGGAATTTAATAATTATTAAAAAGAAAAAACAAACACAAAACAAAAATGTAAAAGATACTTATTTTGTCTACATCTGTAATTAATAAATAATAACAATTAACATGCATAGTTTTATTTTGCATTTTATAGTATACACTTGATATTAATAAAAAAAAATAGAATATTACATTGTTATTACACGAAACGAAAACATATTCCTAATAAAATGGATTGGCTTTTTTTGTTCTTCTTTGAAACATGTTTCACACGTCTATATAATGTTAGTTATTTATTATATATACGTCAGTATTTTTATATTACTATACATAGACCGAAAAATTGCATCGAAATTAGTTGATCTGTTCTGTCCACATAATTGTATTTATCGTACCATATAATGATTTGTGTTAGTTGTAATATAAATGTTATATTCAATTTGTCGTTTAGCCAACTCTCATATCAGCAACATCCCAGCCACATTAAATAATCGGCTTAAAAAGTAGTGCACGTATTCGGGGGAAAAAAAAAGAGAAAAAAAAATTCACGAGAGGAAAGTGTTTAAATATGGCTGGTATTGGAGGAGGCAAAGTGACTTGTTAGAAAGGCTGTACTTACGTGCATAAAAAAAAATTAAATAAAAGTATAAAGTATCTTTTGGTCGCTCTAAGCTTAAATCTATACTTTATATAAATCTGATAATAAAACATAAGTTAACTAGCATTCGTTTTATTTGCTCTTTCTTTTATTATATAACTCTAGCGTATTTCTAAATGCGACTGTAGATGATTAATGCAACTTTTTTTCTGACCTCTGCCCCACCACCACCACCACCACCACCACCACCACCACCACCACCACCACCACCACCACCACCACCATCATCATCATCATCATCGTCATCATCATCATAATCATCATCATAATCATCATCATAATCATCATAATCATCATCATCATCATCATCATTATTATTATTATTTTTAAAATGCTAGAATACAAATAATGTAGCTATAGAGTTTAATATCAATTATTTTTAGCGCTTCATACACTAATTATCTGGACCATCATTACGTATATATGAATAGAAAATCACTCTCGTTTTATATTAGGCTAAGTTTTTTATTTTTTCAAATCTTTTTCTTTCTTCCCTTCTTTCTTTTCCTCAATCTGTCTCTTTGTTTTCATTCTCTTCTACTGTACACACCTATCAAGTACATATTAACAATCGAAGAAACAACCGAATTGGCGTTTTTCAATGAAATTATTAATGGATAATAATTTACTGTTTATATCCTACGGGATTGTAATAATATGTGCGCATAGTTTGTCGACAGTTGGCTTTAACAATACCAATATAATCTTTACATTTCACACTATGAAGCTTGCTATATAAACCACTTTATGAGTATTATTTTTACCCTGCAGAATGGTATGTTATATTAAAATGTATGAATTTCAGAATAATTAAAATACATTAGTCTTTACATATGAACGATAAAATTATTACAAAATTTATACCAAGGACAGTTCACGATACTCACCATAATGATCAATATTAATTATTGATGTCGACTATACTCATAACCGCTTCAAATTCTTAATACGCCCATTGAAATCCAAAATACATAGAAGAAATGAATATGCATGAGACAGCAAATGCTTTCGATTCCTGCTACTTAGTTACTTAGCGCTTTTAATGAAAAACATTGAATGAATTATTGTTTGGTTTCGAAAAATCAAAAAAAAAAAAAAATGGAATACGTATTTCAAAGAATGAAGGACATATTAAAATAGAAAAAAAACATTATTAAAAAAAAAAAAAAAAAAAAAAAAAAAAAAGTCACACACAGACTTATTTTATATTTGGAAAATATAATGTTTATTTAGATATACTTATTTTGTATTAATACAATCTTATTGGTATTTGATTTAGTCGAAAAGCTTTCGTTTTTATGTTAGGAAAAAGTAATTTAAGCATATAGTTCTAGTTGAGCTAAAATATTTACAAAAAAAGGCATTGAGTAACAAAGAGGATAAGGCAGTTATTAAAATTCCCGACAAATAACTACAATAATTAAAAGGGCATTGCACTTGTGCTTATCACTGCACAAAAATCACGATGAAGCGAAGGAGTCATTGCTTCTCACACACGACAATTCTTCCTCAATCCCAAATATTCAATTATCCAATTATTATTCATTTTCGAATGCTGCATTCGATATCCAGCACCTGATGCACCGCTAATTGATTCCCCCCTCCCCCCCCCCCCTTTCGCCCCCCCCCCCCCCCCCCCCTTTCGCTCTCTCTCTCTCTCACTTCACCCACTATCCACCCCCTAACCCCATAGTAAACCCTAATCACTAACCCAACCCCAACTCCTTGCATAATCGCAAATTCTCGATTGGATGAACTTGTTACGGTTGCACATTGATAGCCACTGATGCGTCTACACACGGTTAGCTAAAAACACGATCGACACCACATTGTAAGATGAATTAGGCCATCTCCAGAGTTGCCTGCTCGTCTGAAGTTGCTTCGCAAATTTCGCGTCCTGTTTTTGTTGTAATTGCAAAATACCCCGTCACCCCGTCTTGCCAATAATTCGCTATAATTCGGCATCTCATTAACGATGCCGACGACATCCTATCCATTCACGACAGTCCGATTGGGACAATTGACCCGACTCCAATCGGTCTTGCGCGACTGTTCCTTCCTCGCTGCACGTTCCTGCATGCATCGTGGGAAGATATTTAAGCAGAGAAGAAGCCTTTGATCCTGGCAGGCGGGATGTCATTGCGAGCTCGTGCAAGTAATAAGTGTCCAAATAAGAAACAACTTGGTTTTGGATACATATCGCTCATACGGCTTGTTTTTAATGTGATTTTAATAGTTCCTTTTGGCACTCGTTGGCCCAAGATTTGCGAGGCATATGAGGAAAAGAGTATACTTATGTTAATAAGCACGTGGGCTGCAATAAAATATTTGTCAATGGATTGTTTTTTATTGTTTTGTTTTGTTTTAATTTTTTATTTTTATTTGGACAATGCGAGCCATGCGGAGAATGCAGTTGTTTAATATCAGTTGAAAGGTGATGGCATGTCAAGGAGTTGGTTGGCATGGCGCTTGCTAAGTGTTTGTTCAATGTTTGTTTGTGAATGCACCACGTGAGCGTGGCCCAATAAGCTTTCAATATGAGCTTTAGTTGGATGAGCTACAGTGTGAAATTAACCGACACCTTAAATCTAATGGCCGATCCTTTGTCTAGTGGTATGAAATATCGCTTTATCGGGGCGCGGCCTACACGCACGCGTAACGAGCCCACGAATTTATAGATATATTTATTACGTTGTAGTTTGCGTGTGTATTTGCACGTACCGCTTAAGAGTAATTGGTAACTGGGCGTAGAAAGCTTGCTATTCCCCCATACGACTAATTATTGTCAATATTCTTTTCAGTTTTTTGTAAGACTCGAGCATATCCGCAAGTGCTTTACTCAGAAGGGTACGATCTTCGTTTTGGAAGAATTCAGTGAGTTTTGCACAAGTTTTGTATTGGTAAATCGGAGCTAATTTGTAGTTCGTAATGAGCGTATGAAAGTGAAGTTAATTTTTCTTTGGCATGACTCTGCAATTCAAAAAAATATTATAGAAATGAAAATTCGGATTAGAAAAAAAAGTAGAAGAAAGAAATAATAAAGAATATTAAAAATACTTGCTGAATTGCTACAAAAGCTGACGCTACGCGTGATGTTGCAAAAATTACGTTTGAATTTTCACGGGAAATACGAGAAAAATTTAACCGTTCTTTTTTTACTCTTCTTTCAGATCCTAAGTCTAGACAAATAATTCAACGTAAATATAAGTCTCAAATGGTAAGTAAGCAATCTTTTCTTTCATTACTATTTATTATTTATTTATTTATTTTTTTTTAATTTTTTATTTTCTTATTTGTTCAAGTATTACGTTTAAAGTAGTAATGAATAACATTTGTTGTTGTTTGTTGTTGGCACAACATCCTACAATCAATATACACTAGTATTTATCCTTAAAATTGTGTCGATTAAAGTTCGACTTGACGAGTAACACAGTCCAAAGTCCAAAGGAAAACAACACTTTGATTTTTGTCGCACGAAACAGGCCAGCGAAGCAGTTCATTGCATGCACAGAATCTTCTCGGTCGCATTAACCATGCAACTCTCAGTGGACACTCACCTTGTAGAACGGTCCGATAGCAAAAGTACTGCATGACGTCACACTAATCCTATCCTTTACTTTTGCCCCGTCGCGCAGTGTAAGTCTCTCTCTCTCTCTCTCTCTCTCTCTCTCTCTCTCTCTCTCTCTCTCTCTCTCTCTCTGTCATTATACATTTTTATTTCCATCGTTTTTTCGTATTTCATGGCTTGCGTTTTGCGTTTCCTACATGTTTACAGAACAAACCTTTTTTTTTTTTAAATAGCGTTTTGTAGTGTATGTTAGATTTCTATACAACATGTTTAGTCTAATATCATGCACAGGACTTCGGTTTATTTTCGCATCATCAAGCGGTTATTGTAAGATAATTGTAATGATAAAGAAAATTCGTATAATTAACGCCAAGCATCTTGTTTGATATTATTGATTCGTAAAATTAAGCTAATCGTCGATTAGAATTATTTATTTTGTTCGTTCAAACATAAGATTAGATCGGTTCTTATTCTTAAATTTGCAAGGACATTATTAACTCGTACACAAGGTATCGGCGTTCAATAATCTCAACTGTTGGTTCGGATAATAATAAATCGTGAGTAAAGACGCGTAGATAAAATCGTCATGCGTGTTGAAAATCCTGAAAATCGTAAATTGAAATAAATACGAAACAATACTTCGTATAGATTCTTCATCGCCGGGTGATGCATAATCGGGCGCGCAATAATCATTAAAAAAGAAGGTGAAGCAAACTTTGCCAATGGAGTGAACGATATTTCCAGGCGGATCAAATCTGCTACTCCGTACTGTGCTTATTCTCGTACGTGGCGACGGGCAACGATCAACCCAAGCATCATCTGGTACAGCAGCACCAGCAGCACTCGATGAGCCCGCGCACCTCGAATGTCGGCCTGTCCAGTCAACAGCCGCTCCGTCGAGGCTCCCAGGTCGAGCCTCTACCAAAGCATCGCTGACACAGAGGCAGACACTCTCTACCCTTCGTGCACAGCTACGAAAGCTGTGCGCCCTACGCTTGCTTACCCTGGGTCTGAGCCATCAAACCCGTGGCTTGCGTGCACTTCGTGTCGTACATCCTTGTAATCTTGTCCTCTCGTTCCCAGGCATGCAACGCATTTGTTTAGACGTATGCACGTGACCATTATCGTCCACCTCTTCCTTACTCACCTCCCTATCAAATCCATAAACTGGTCGACGCGTTAATATTTATCGGCTATTCTGGAATCCAGGATAAAGTGAGCTTCGAAGGTGAAATTTGTTGGAAATTTATGCATATCCTTCGTTTTTTTTTTTGTGTTATTTTCTAATAAGACCATATTTATTATCGCATGCATATATATATATATATATATATATATATATGTGTGTGTGTGTGTGTGTGTGTGTGTGTGTGTGTGTGTGTGTATATATATATATATATATGTATATATACATCGTTACGTACAGAAGTTAAATACTCTTGTGCTGAGTTATTGGCTGTGCTAGGAAAAGCAACCAAGTTATCTCTAATGTAGGCAAGGATGCAACAGAGATACACAGAAGATCACAAAAGCTTGAAATAATTCATTTATGCACGAGTTGGATTAGACTTGCTGATGGTCCGTCTTCTACTAATTGCTTCCTTGTGGCCGCTGATTAAATGCCTGCGCCAGCGAGCCACTGGATGATATTTAATTGCAAGACAGTGTTTACACATTATCTAATCAGTTTAGCGTTATGATTGTTATTCAATTTCGTAGCACGTAAAAATTTGACCGGTATACGTGAATATACATACATACACGTGTGTGTGCGTGTGTGTGCGCGCGTGTGTGCGCGCGTGTGTGTGCCTGTCTGTCTGTCTCTCTCTCTCTCTCTCTCTCTCTCTGTGTGTGCGCGCGCGTGTGTGTATGTGTGTATTGTACTATATAATATTAAGTATTTTTTCATTTACATTGATTTTAAGTAAAATACTAAATCTTATGATGAAATCAATCGGCATTACATTCTTTATTTTTCAACTTTTGATCTCGCTCTTTTCCTCTTATTAGTTATAAACTCTTAGTTTGGTTTAATTATTATTATTATTGATTTTTAATTGATTTTTATAGTGTCAAAGACTACAATTACTACGTAAGAGAATAATTTAAAAATACAGTGTTATAATTCAGGGAAATATTTATATAAAAATTTACTTGAAATTATTGAAAAAATTTATTAATATTTCATCCAAAAGTATATGTAAAAGTGTATGAATATTTTATTACATCATTCGTGTAATAAATTATTACTTTATAACATCATCAATTATTTGTACAATTTAAAAAGTAACGGAAATTGTTGTTTAACGAATACGAAAATCCCTACAATGTATTTATACAATTCTTTTAACTCATTTTATTCAATAATATTCATTTATTATAAGAGTAATATGAAAAATATCTTTAAAAGGCAAAAGTTACTTTGACAATAAAAACAAAAAACAAAAAAACAAACAAACAAAACCTATATAAATATAAAAAAAAAACATTATTCTGAAATTAAATTCTTATTCGTTAATACAAATTTTATGAATTTTAGTACTTTACAAGTTTAGATGCATTATTTAGTTAAAGAAAACTTTTAAAAGATGAAAAATGTTATTTAGGAAAAAAAATTTTGATGCAAATATATTAAGAATGTGTAGTTACAGTTACGTATATTATAAACATTGTAAAAAATGACGCTTATATAATAGCAATGTTAATTTTAGAAGAAAAATAAAAAATCATACTTGATACAAGAGCTAGAATTATCAAGCGTGAGTATTATACAGTATTCCTCGATGCATTATTCAGATTTTTATAATTAACTAAAATGATGTTAAGTCGAAATTGAAATAATTTATTTCTTACTACTGGCAATGATATCTTGGCGATTTCGTCAGACATTTGATTTAATTGAAACGATGAAACAAACAATGTTCACATTGTAATAACTTTTGTTTTAATTTTTGGTTTATTGGATGTTTTGGAAATTTGAATGAAAACGAATAAATTAATCTAATAAACAAATAAAGTGTTGGCCATGACAATATAACTTTTGTGAAATCGATTTTTTTTTCTTTTAAATAAATTGATGAGCTGGCTGTTCTCAAATTGGATTATTCATAAAAGCACGAAAATTTAAACTAGATAAAATAAAAAAAAAAAGATAATTATAAACTTAATGTGTTGACATACTTTTCTGTTCATATTCTGTTCAAACCGCAATAAAGAACGTGAATTATCGACTATTGTTTATTCCAGTGTAGTTTATGACTTTAAAACCTTAAACATTTAATAATGTCCATTTAATATTAATTCGAAATACATTATAAAAATATTTATTATAATTATAATATTTCTAATGTTTGTTAATATAATAGTTTCAAATTTCGTTTTATGCGATAAACTGGATAATGTAAGCAGTTTTTCGTGTAAATATATCCTTATTTAATGGATAAACGCATTCAGAGGTGTTGTAAATCGCTATTCTATTATAGAAAAGATAAAAAGCTTGTAAATAATAAAAAATAATACATTTGATAAAGGCGTCGTTATGAAATATAAAATCATAAAATGTAAAAATCAAAGCAATATTGTTAAATGCGATAGCTTTAATATTAGTGATTTTATTTTGTCTATTCAAATCTTTCTTAGAGAACTCAATATATAAAATTAAACTACACATTTTATTTAAGACTTCGTTTAAAGATATTTTTATTTTTAAACCAATTCATCGCCGTATTTTAATTAAAAGTATTTAAAGCTCCTCTTATATTTTGATAGCAATGAATTACAATTCCAATTGAATCTTTGAATTATAAATTATTGAGATATAATAGTTATTACCATGATAATAAAATTATATGTCTATTGTTTTATTTTTAATTCATAATTAGTGTTAATATCATATTCTTCATTTTCAAAAATTAGTAGCCGTAAAACCTGTTTAAATAACATAATCATTTACGAGAAGATTTTTTTTTTTAATTGCAATTAGTTTACTAAATATATAGTGTATTTTAATGAAAACAAGAGTTTGCAAAATATGGTAACATAGAACGTATACTTTTTGTAATCTATATATTGAAGAAGTTCAAGTGCTGAATTTAACAGTGCGTGTATGCGTCGAGGTATTTGTAAAAATAAAACAATAAAAAAGGAAACTAGCAGAACGTTAGCAACTATTAAAATATTTGTAAATATGTATATTTTTAGTAAAGTGCATACATTTGTGTTTTACATTTTATTCGTGCGTTATTTGTTCAATTCATAATGCAAATAAAATTCATATCCTCAAAATGAGAAACTAAAAAATTCCTGCGTATACAGTGTATCATTCAAATATCAGAATCGTAATGTAACATAAAAAAAAATAGATAAATTTTAACTCTGCAAATGTGTGTTTCATTGTATTGTCCTCATTCCATACAACAATCAAGACTAAAACAACAATATCCGAACACTCGATATTTTGTCAATTAAAAAACTATCTCGTATTTCTACTGTACAATTGATTTTATCAATAATTCTTTCTATTAAGTGACATATTTTTATTGGTCATTAAATTGTTTTGTAAAACTGTAAAACAGTCTTTTAATTACTCTATTTAGTATGGGAATTTAGTACAATTTTTAAATATGTGTGGTAAATTTTCATAAATTTAAATGAAATTAATTCTTAACGGTTTAAATTCTGTGTTTCTCGATTTATTCACTCTCGTCAATCAATAACAGTATTATAATAAAAAAATTGAGTTGTTATGATTATAACTGCAGTGTAAAAAGTTGAATTGTTGAGATTATAATTGTAGTGTAGTAACATTATTTCTAAATTTTGATATACGTTAGATATACGTGAATGAAAATCTAATAATTTGATATGTACAATTCAAAAAGTACGAAATAGTCTACTAAATATTTTTATTATTATTTTCTTGTTTAAATTAGTATTTCATAAAACAATCGAGTAATCATCGAAATATTTTCTTTAAAAATGCCTTTAAAAAAATTTTAATAGTCTATTATTAAATTCAAAAAAATCCTAATAATTGATTTATTATTATACACACGTCAATGCATTTTTCAAATAACTTTGATTATTTATAATCAATATTATTATTATTCCAAAAAAACAGTGTTATTACTCAATCATCCCATTAGCAATTATTATTATAATTATTTTGTCAGTGACCTTAAAATTTATCTGCAAATCTGCATAGTTATCCTCCAATTTATATGCCTCTTTATTGATTTGGTGAAACTGGCAAAATAGAATAAACATTTTTTCAAGTCCATGAAGGATAGAGTTCAAAATAATAAATTAGAGTATTGTATAAACTAAAATTCGAGACTGCACAAATTAACATATTCTTTAAAGCACAAAAGTATGGTTATTTGTATATTTAATCGACTCGATAATAATATTCGTATATGCAATGAATTTGTTACTCGCGACTCCCCACCTACTTTGCATGTTAATAATCGTTCGATTTTTAATCGTTTTAAGAAGCGCTACTTTGAATAACGTAGTAACGTATAAGAGTGACGGTATTTTTGGGTAATGGTTCAAATCATTTAATTAGAAGTTTCAAAAATTTCGGGAAAATAATCTCGATAAAATGTTCGATCATTAGCGTTCGTACAGAACCCCAAATAATTCGCAATGTCGAGTCGACAAATTCCCCGCGCGTTGCTTGTGCGAGCATATACCGTGGCTCCAAATGCGCATGCGCGAACGACAATCGAACCGGAGCCTCGCGCGTTTTATCCTTGTTTTTATGTTCATGACTTTAGATTAATTGATTCTTCGTAGTTTCTCGTGAGGTGCGATGGTAAGTTTTCTATTTAATCTTAATAAATCTTTAACATCTTATGTTATTGATAATATTTTTCATCTATTTCGATCTCTTGAGTATTTATTCAATATTATTTATGTTTTAGTCGGCCCACAAAACATTTATTATCAAGCGTAAGCTTGCAAAGAAACTGAAACAAAACAGACCCATTCCACAATGGGTGAGAATGCGTACGGGAAATACCATTCGGTAAATATTGTTTTAATTCAACTTGCTTTTCATTTTTCAAGCCTTAAGGAATTCATTATAAAAAGTTTAATTGCAATTGAACTAAGCGTTTGTTTACGAGAACATTTTTTCAGAGAGAAAGTAAATTAGTACAATTATTTCGTGTACAACTATATATTAAGTGGCTTGAATACTTTTTCTTATTGCAAGTCAAAGTAATTTTTTTTTAATTATTTAAATGATCTGGAAGTTTGTTTGATCTTATTTTTATTAAGAAATATGCACATTGCCATTGATTGGAATGATTAGTTTATATTTGCAATTTTATCGCTTATAGAACTAAAACTATCATGATAATAATATGTTATCAGAATGCATTTATAAACGTAAAAAGATTAAGTTTATTTTAAAATCGTTATAGATATATATTAATTTTACTGTATCGTAAAGCCATGGTTTTGTTAATATTTCATTTTTTTTTATATGTAGGTACAACGCTAAGAGGCGTCATTGGAGAAGAACTAAACTAAAATTGTAAACGATATTAATTGTATTGTATGCATTTATTTAAAGAGAATAAATTTTAATTCTTCTTATTACTTTATATTTAAATTAAAACCCCTGACTTCCTACGTTCCTTAATATTTAAATTGTAAGAAATGTAATTTATCAATGTACTAAAAAAGTTTATTTATTAACGTTTATAGATAATTTATTTACAAAGAATTAGGAATTTTACGTCTTCGCATTTGTTCTTTCCAATCTTCTAACAATTCGCTGGAGGATTTATGATTGGTTTTATAATAATCTTTAGGTGGTTCACCTTCCTCGAGGCGAACAAAATAATGACAATAAGTATATCTCACTTCCCCAAAAAGTGCTCCTTTGTGTTTCCTCTTACCTTTTATTGTATAAGCTTTTGATGTGAAAGATTCCGCTGAAGAAAAAAAAAATATATGACAATTTATGTACTATATTATGTAGACGTAAAAAAACATTTAAAATAATTTTGTTTAGACATTGATCTTTCTTAATTGATACAAATATTTATAGCCATTATCTTTACATTTTTACACGCTAATTACCTTTTACATATACCAGGACTATACTTAATTTTTAATTTCTTTATTATTATTATTAAAAGCATTAATAATTTGTTTTATCACTTTTATATTGTACTATTAAGAGTACATAATTTATCATGAATTAAATATAATATTTATTATAATTTAAAATTTCTGATACAATACTACCAAAATTATTATTACAATTTTTTAAAATAAATAATTACTCACCGACCCATAAATTACTTTTAAATTCTACATTATGATGTTCAACAGCCATCGCTTGAGCTTCTAAAATTGCTTCTTTAACAATTGCTCCTCCTTTTTTCAATACAAAACTCAATTGTTTAATAGCTTCATCTACGGACATACCTCTAATTAACCAAGCTACATACGTCATTTTCTTTGGTGTATACCTTATGTTACATTTTTGATGGCAAACGTACTAAAAAAAATGGCCCATTAATTCTATTACTATTATTAATAAATGAAAGGACATGTTCGATTACTTACAGCTGGACGACGTTCTTCATCAAAACCTTGTACTGGATATATAATGTCATTATAGCTCAGAAAATGAGTAGGCTTTTTGTCAAGATTTATATTTCTTTGTACAAATTGTAAACTACGAGTCGCGGTGACTAAATTTTTACTGAATAATAAACATAAACGTGTGGCTAAGCTCATTTTTAATGCTGTAAAAATATAAAATAATAATTCATCACTGCACACACGACACTTAAAAATTTAAGAAATGACATAAGTAGCTTATATAAAATATAAAAAAATCTAAGTTTTATTAATTTAATGATATACAACTTTTATAATTGATTATTTCTTTTCAAAAAGTATACTATATTATAAATATAACCTCGAAAAATAATTAAGTAAAGAAATGTGAACTAACATCTATATATTGAAAAATATTCAACGATATAATTATAAATTAAAATTTATACAATTAATAAAAATATTCACGTCACCTATTTATATTATATATTGTTGAAATATAATGTAATTATGAATGATAAAACATCTTTGACATAAATTCTCTTAAAGTTGAAGACTGCCAATGTAATTTGGTAAATGATTTTATCTGCGATAATTTGAATCTAATGAAATGTAAATAAAAAGCTAGAGAATCTACAATTTACATTAAAAAATCAGTCTAATAAAAATTAATAATCAAAAATACTATTATTAATATTGTATTTTAAACAAATAATAAATATTGTAAATAAAGAAAATAAATATTATTAAGAATTATTACCATTATATTAATTTTTTAATGTTTTGTACTGTAGAAATTAAAACCAATGGACTTAAAGATATAAGATAAAATATATTTACTTAACAGTGAAATTAAAAGCATCGATAAAATGCTTGAGAAATAGAGAAAATTGTGAAGTTTGAATTAAATGTTTTTGACGTTTTTTTTTAAATTAACATTTTGAAAATTGTTTAATTATCTACATACTAACTTGTAAAACTTGAAAACTATACTTTCTTGAATAAAAAGTATTATTATTATACAAATGAAACATTAACATTAAACATTTATTTATTATAAATATATTTTTATTTTACTTTTATACATTTCATCAATGCTTATTATTAATTATATATCCAGTTTTTTCGTATGTAAATTAGTTAAAATTTTCAATTCTTTTAAAATCTTAGTTTAAATATAAATTAAACTCTAAGTAGGATTTCGGAATATTCGCGTAAAGATATTTAAAAACATGTAACGAGACTTTATGTATAGAAGTTGGAGTTACATTATAATTTTACAGAACATAAATAATATAATACTAAGCAGCCCTTAATAACACACGAAGAGAATATAATTTTTTATTAATACAACTTGGATTTTATAATAAGATATTTTTGAAATTTAAATTATAATTTATGTTGATTCGATTACTAATGATAAATTGAATTTTAATATAAAATACGTAATGAAATAAGAAATAAAATATAAGTTTTTTATTATGTTTTATTGATTGGATTAATCATTCAAGTTTGATATTTAGAGTCGAATGGATATTATAGTTATTACATATTATCAATTAGAATACGATATAATACAATACCATCTATTAAACAAATTAACCATTTACTTTGAGATTATATTTGTAAAAAGAGTAACTGAAAATGATTCCTCAACAATTATTGCTAATATATTTTATAGAATATACCTAAATTTATATTTCGTTTTCACATATATATGGCACACACATATATTATGAAAAGCCTTAAGTTTATTATATATTAATAAGAATGGTTATTTTAATAAAAATGTATAGTTATTGCTAAAAGTAAAATCGATGATATTATATGTGAATGCAAAAAAAAAAAAAAAAATTTAAATAATAAAATATATTAAATTAATGAGAGCATAATTTATTTCGACTAAGTATATCGAATATGATATGATATAGAATACCATAGAATTATAGATTTTCTATAAAATATTTAATTTGTACATGGTACATAGACCGATTACTTTAATAATGCGATAAATAGTTTAATAAATTATATGCAATGTTACGTATAATGAAATAAATATATTCAATCCAAGATCTTATATTTCAATACATATACGCAGATATAAAAAAAAAAAAATAGAAAAAGTTTTATAATTAGAAGAAGGAAATTTAAGACAATTTGTTAAAATTCTGAAAATTGTGAATAAAATAAATAGTTTAATTATTTCATTCAATTATTATACTCATAAAGTTATTAGTCAAATTTTCGTTAATTAATTGTCTAGTGAAACTTATTCGTAAGGCAAGTATGATAAATAAATTGTTATATTGGTAGGGCAAAAATAAATAATGTAAATATTTATCATTACTACTAATGATTTTTTTTTAACAAACTGAATTTTAATAAGATGTACATTTTATGTATTGTGTATTATAAATTTGTACAAATTATTTTTACTGTTAAAACATTATTCTTTGCAAATAATATTTGCAATATATATATATATATATATATATATATATATATATATATATAATTGGTTTGAATTATTTTACAGCAAATTTTACTTATATTAATGACATTGCATTTAGAATTCGTAAAACATTGAACTGGTTTTAAAATTACAATTCCGAGATTTTTATATGCAGTATTTAATGAATAAACATATATATAATATCAAGAATAATAAAAATTATTGTTAGACGAATGCTGAACAAGGAAATAAATATCATCAATTAAAGGATGATGTATTAAATGGCTGTTTTTATTTCTTAAAAGAAATCCCAAGCATTTCACATATTAATATTTAAGATAGATAGCCGATAATTAATAATATAATTATCAAATAATATATTATATATATATATATGAATGAGAGATTACTAAAAATTTATCCAGATATTAATTTCCAATAGATATTAATATTTTTCTCAATACTATTTTTATAATATAATGTATGGATGTAAAGTAATTATGCTATTAAATGTTCATTGATATGATTCACAGATATGATTCATTGAAAAAGAAAAAAAAAGAAAATTTTTTAAAAATATGTGTACTAATTTTTAAAATAAATCAATTATACTTAATACTGTAATAGAAATATTATAAAATATTATTGAGATATTTTGTCAATTTGGATCTCAAAAGTAAACGTATAGAATGCTTTTTGTTTTAGTTATAATAAAATTTTGAGTATAAAACGAAAAACAACGTAGTGATAATGTATTTATACAACCCATTGAAAATATTCGAATTTACATGATCCTTTTGGTTTTCTTGAAATAATTAAGTTTCTTTTTATAAAAACATTTTCTGTATTATGTTTTAGAATTTGAGCAAAATTTACACTAAATTTAAGATATTTAATTAATATTCCAATTTTTCCGTCATTTTAAAATGCATTTAAAAGCAATTGTAATAATAACAATTTGATAATAAATAGGATTAATTATTTATTTATTTTTTGTATTAAATTTCATAATAAGCAATTAATTTGCTTTTGGTTTTTTTTTTTAATAAAAACGTATTTTTATCGAATAACAACTGAAATTATACAATTGTAAAGTATAAATATAATGATTTGTTTGAAAGAAATTTAGAATATACTCGTAATTATTTAGTATACGATAACCCGTTAATGAAAATGTGAATATTATATTTATGAATTTTATTATGTATCGATGAAATTGTTCTATTGTATATGAAAAATCAAAGATTATAAGTAAAGTTCAACATGGTATCTCTCATAAATTTTTCTCGTTTTTTAAATATCGGAATGCAAACATGTTCAAAAAAAGTTGATTCTAATTTCTTAATAAAACAACCATCTATTAGTAAGTGCTTTTTTATTTTATATTAATATTGCCAATATGAATGAAAAATTAATGATCAATTACATAAACATAACCTGCTTCATTGCTGAAAAATTCTAATTCAAATCAATAATACATTATTATTATTTAAACATTTCACGTAAAACGGATTTTTTTAGTGTGCCAAACTTTATTAATTGCTGGGATTCGGAATTATAGAAAAATCAAAGGAGTCCCAAGAAGTATACCATGGATAGACAAGAAACCGGATTATCAAACTGAAGTAATAAATACTACAAAAGAAGATGCGAAGATTGCTGCAGGTCTATTTTTATATAGAATTTAATTATTAATAAACAATTTCAGATAATTTTGCGATAGTGATATTGATTTTGAAATGGTGTTTTTAGATGTTTGTGAGCAAATAAATGAACAAATTGCTGAAAACAAAACCGGACGATTATTTGCTATTATACATCTTGCTGGTAAGCAACATAAAATAACAGAAAGCGATCTTGTTGTTGTAAGAGGATACTGGCCACCACAACCCGGTGACAAAATTAAACTTGAAAAAGTACTACTTGTTGGTGGTACAGACTTTTCATTGATCGGGAGGCCAATACTTAATAGAGAGTTGGTTTCTATAAATGCGACTGTGATTGACAAAACCTTTTCGCAGACAATAACACACTTCAGATTTAGAAAAAGGAAACAATACCGCAGAATACATTGTGAGCTTTTTCATTAATAATTTTCTAATTATTATAAAATATAAATCATTTTAATATTTGCACTAAATGATATTTTAGCGTTAAATTATTAAAAATTCATTTACACACATAAATTAAAATATATTTCTAAATACCAATTTAACGATATCATTATTTTACCAAAAATAATATATATATAATCTGTATATAAAAAGTATTAACATTCAAATATATTTTAATACCTTTTATAATCATGGTTTTTGAAATTACTAACAAATTTTGGCTCTTATTATCAAACAATCTACTTTACTAATTTTTTAAGATATAATTTATAATAACAATTTATGTCATACTTAAATTTAATTATTTAATTAAATGTTCTGTATTGTAGTGAGAAATAAGATATTCATATACAATTTAAAAAGTACTTTTCATTTACTTACAAACTTCCTGATTTTATTTATTTTTAAAAATGATATTAAACTAACACGGTTTTATCATGTGTCCAAATTAACAGTTAAATAGACAATATGATTCTGTTATGATTAATGTTTATATTTATTTAATTTTTTATTTATAATAGCTTTACCTTTATCCATTTCATTTAAAAAGTTAATAATTTTTCTTGTAGTTTTCAGAATACCGCAAACAATGATACGAATCAACGCGATTACATTGAATGGGAAAGTTAATCGGAAGTTAGAAGTTGAAGGACTGGATAGAGTTTATTAAAATGAAATAAATTTATAGGTTTAAAGAATTTTTTTACTATATAGCAATAACTTATTAAATACAGTATATAATAAAAACAATGCTGTTCTTGTCAAAAACATTTATTCAACAACAATCTGTAAATAAAGAAATTTTTATTTAAATTTATTACATTATGAAAAAATTCTGTTTATTCTTGTATTATAAAATTTAAAATAAAAATGTTGAAGATTAATAAAGAATCCGTGTACAAATTACAAAAAAATCGAAATATTAGATTGAGTTTTAAATAATACAATTTTCATAAGACTATTTATTTAGTATTAGCAAATTTCACAAAAAAAAAAAACTATTGCAGCATATATAAAATATAATTATAAAAACAACTATTATTATATAACATTATTGATTACTTTTTTAGTATATTTATAACTAAATTTGAAATAAATTGCTCGATTCCAAAAATTTTAACAGTCTAAGCTGGGAGATCTAACAAAAAATGCTTTGGTAATACAAAAGCGACTTAATTTGTTCTTAAATCTAACCTGCTGCCACATAACATTAATAAATATATTTCCTTTTTATATATAACGATTGACCGATAGTCATGAAATTTTTTTTTTTTTTTTTTTTTTTTTTTTTTGCCATATTACATAGAACTGAAATATGCAAATTATGCATATAAGTGCATTTTTACTTGCGAATTAATGAATACATAAATCTATAAAAAAAAATCTCTGTATATACATTTGTTTTATTATAGACATAGCATTTACCTATGTCTCGATAGACACAATTATATAAAAATATGAGCACAACCTTTTGGTTAAGCCTATTAAAGACATCCCTCGTTGCTATTATTTAATTCTTTTGATTACTATCACTTTTGTGCTCGATTGGAACTAATTGAAACGTATTACCTACTTTTATAGCTTTAAAAATATCACCCGCAGAAATCTTTTTAATTGGTATCTGTGTCATAATTGCAACATTTGGTTTGTGGATAGGATTTTGCACTTTCTCTGTAGAATTGACAGAAGCTAACTTAATTTTAATATCCTCTTTCGAGATGGGCACCAATTTCTTCATATCAAAATTAGTGAGTTTCACAAATTTTGGGGTATTGCATTCTTGCAACTTGAACGGTGTAATTTTTAACTCCAAAGGCACATTTATTCGCACCGTGCGAATCGGCGTGACAAGTTTGCAGGATTCATTGACTAGATTTTCTTTACTAACTACTGGAAGAGCAACTGGTGAATCTGTAGTGGATATTTGTAAGACTTCAGGAATTGTTGAAGCTACGTTATCCAACTTTGCACTGCCCAAATTTATATCCTCTTTTGAAGGCGAAATGCATGAATCAGAATTGTGTCTTGGAAAGAGCTTAGTACAAACTTTTGGTTTATGCTCGTTAGACTTCATTCGTTTCAATTCCATTTCAACGACTTGTAAAATTGAATCATCCAAACGATCTAGAGATCGAGTTTCCGATTTGCTTAAATTAGATGAACTCTGAGTTCGATTAAATTTATTATCTGCAATTAGAATGAGTGTAAAGTTATATTACATTTAACGATAATATGTAAGATTGCGTTTATGTATTAAAATAAATAATAATGAAAAAAAGTTTACTAAAAGTCATTAAAATTCAGACAAATATATTTAAAATGAATGAATTATTTAATAATTAAAATTGTGAACTATTGCTTATTATTCTTTATCATAATAAATAATTTTATTTTACAATTAATAAAGCAAATAGAAAAAAATATCTATATATTATTACGACATATGTTATTTCGCGTTCTGTTTTTTTTGTTTTGTTTTGTTTTGTTTTGTTTTGTCTTTTTAAATCATTATTCTGATAATTTGATTTGTTTACCTGAATCAAATAGCTTTCTTTTCCTTGGCTCGCGTTTATTTCCGATTGGGGTACTTGAATATAATCTTGAAATTCTACTTAATGCGTGATAACTAAGGACGTTCGATTTTTTATTTGGTGTAGTCATTCCTACTAGCGATTGACTTTCATTTTCAGTAGATAGAATTTCTATTGCAAAAGTAAGTGCCGATTAATTGAATAAAGATACGTCGATTCATAGATAATTCATAGATAAACAAATGTACGAGCGCTCGAATATCTTATTAAATTTGAAGGATAAAATATAATTTTTATATTGTACAAATTGTTTAAATTATACAATATAATTATAAAAGGTATAAAAATCTGTTTTAGTCCTATATTTTTCAATTTATAGTCTTATTAATGCTTACCTGAATCGAAATTAATACAATCGATGCTTGGTCCTGTATATTTAAAAATAGGCTTCCTAATAATACAATTGTATAAATCAACCTTCTCGATCAAACCGATAGCGGATAAAACGTTTGCAATGTCGTAAAGCCTTCTAACTTTTGTTTTATATCGCGATTGCGTCGTGCTGCTTTTTATATTTACAGAATTGTCTTGTTCGTTGATCAAGACTTTTGCAGCTATATCTAAGTTTATAACGCCATTCTAGGACATAAAATTGTTGCTTAATATTATTTTCAATTTTTATCCAATGTTATATTGTGTCTGATTGCTAATCTTATCATATCTTAAATTCTTTAAACAATCAAAAATATTTTCACAAATTTCAAACTTAATGCAAAGATAAAGGCATACAAGTAATTAGAATTTTGCCTTTAACTGTGATTTTTAATCTTTTATAAGCTTATACTTCTATGATATTTGATTAATAATTTTGAATAATAGTTTTATTTCTCAAACAAGTGCATGAAATGCAAATATCTCTTAAATCATATTTTAAACGCATAAGAATTGTAGTATTTAATTTTAGAAATACGTTATATTTCAATTTAATTTAATATTATTACCTTTAATGAGACGAGGAAAAGCATAACAAATTTTCGACACATGACACCTAAACTTTTGTCTTCCTTAACAGAGTTATCGGGGAAACGATAGTCTACAACGGGACTTTGAGGCACCATTAAAGTTGTCGAATAATTATTACAAGATCGACCCGAATCATCTAAATAAGCTCTATTAATTTTTTGTATCTCTTGAATTTGCTTCTTTAATCCAAGCTCAATAGCAGACATTTTTAGTTTGGCAAGTGTCATGGGTAATCGCGATTGTCCATGCCAAAAATATTGATTCTTACCAGCTTTTGAAGCCATTTCTAAGCTTTCCAAAACATTTATTATGTCGTATATTCTTCGCTTTTCGGTACCAAGAGCTTGAGCAGTTGTGTTAAGAGAAATTTCTTTCCGAGCATTCTCTTCAATTGTTAAAGGGAATAAATTTAAAAATCTGTAAATAAAAAATGAATTAGTTGATAGTTTGCATATTAAATTGCAGTATTTTAAATACGTATTAGCAGCACGTATACTCTATTATAATGAACCGCTTCTCAATTATCAATAGTCGCTGAAATCATTTTATTTTACAAAAATATGCAACTAACAATGGACAATATATAAATATCTTAAACCGACAACAGGTTAATACTCACTTATTGCACAAAAGACTAAGTGACTTCTCTTTTCGTGGAAGTAGTTTCATACAGTTCGAATCCCTCGCAGGTGGTAGTTCCACTACGCTGCTGGAGCTCGAGCATCCCTGGCATGGATTGTAAGTTACATTTTTTAAGTTTGATGCTAAAGTCGTAAGTAGTCTCAGATTAGCTGTTGGCGAATCTGGAGTGGAGTTTCCCAGTTCACCAAGGATTCTTCGTTCTGGAGTTGATCTGGATTCATTTTGCCTCGACATATCTGAATCTGTCCCCAATTACATATACCAAAATAAAAACATTTCATTTTTCATACTTCATTATCCGACATAAGACAATAGTGATTAATAATGTCAAGAGCTCAGTTATAAAAATAGAAATCGTTCGCAGTGCATGAGAGAATTAAAACGGACGACATACTATTTTACACGACAAATATTATAAATATTTATGACATCCGTGGAATTCTCGATTTATCCAAATATACACTTACAACATTTCACTACGGCTAATACAGGAAGATATTTAAATCACTTACCCTCATTCACGAAAGTTCCTCAAACTCGAATTGTCTTTTCAATACTTTCTGCTTCAAGTCATAACTTCGTCGAGTTCGACATTCCGTCCATCTTTTATTAAATCCGTGCTGCTTGTATGCCCTCGTAGGCAGAACCATGTAAAAAGCCACGCGTGCTCCTATCTAACGTTATCGCCTTTTCTCCTTTTCTCCTTCTTGCGCCGAATGGGAAACATGAATGTTTGGGGCAATTAATACCGGCGTCGTGGAAAATACGATTAAAATCAGTGTAAAATATGTCAAAAACTTGTCTACGGACGTTTAAAAGGTATATTTAAAGGGATTTTACATTAATCACATATAGGTCAATAATAATTTCACAATTATTGTAAGATGTTGTCAATGAGCGCCAAGGTTTAATAATGCATTTGGATAACAAGGAGAATCGATGGAGTTTTCGGCTACATTTTACGAAAAATTCCTCGGATATTAATGAACTTTAAAGGCTACGATAAATGAAATCTCTAAATAAATGATTAAATAATTATAAAGCGAGAAGTGTAGAGAACCTACTTGATAATAATTTACTACCATTCTACAATACGCTATGCATTACAAGGTAGAATACATTCGGTGCGCGCAAATTGCCGGCGCCAAAAAATTTCAGGGAAAGGTTAGAACGTAATTTGCTGCTTCGTGCGCCATCTTTAAATGTCCAACATGGCGATGTTATACGACGAAGAGATGATTCGTATTTGAGGTGCTGTCATAAATTTTTAAACCTTATACTTTGGTTTTGAATCGATTTTCAATACACCTTTTCCAGTTTAATACAATAACGTTAATCGTTTTAAAAAAAAAAAAAAAAAAAACGAAAAAAAAAAAACGGAAAAAAAACGAAAAAACGAAAAAAAAGGGAGAAAAAAAGGAAAGAAAAGAGAAAAGGAAGGTTGTAAATGCGCGTGATTATAATATGAACCAATTTGATGAACAAAATTTTGTAAGAGGAAGAAAACCATTTATTGGAATGAACGGTAAATAAATATATAACATATAAATGATTATGTTCAAAGTATGTTTTTTTTTTAACTCAAATTTATTCAACTAATGTGAATATAAACGTTTTTCATTGAAAACCAGCGGTTAAAAGTATACCGTGACAATACATTAACCTCAATATTTGTTTATTTTGAAAGACATAAATCTATTTATTTTTTAAGTTGTGAATTTGCTAATTTTACAATATATTAATATTAAATGATTGATACAATTATTAAGAGTAATATAAGCTTCATTATTAATAATGAATCATTTCATTTCTTTGAAGGAGCACCAGAAACGGACGATCAACAGCGAATGCGATTCCAAGTGGAATTGGAATTTGTTCAATGTCTAGCTAATCCAAATTATTTGAATTGTAAGTTTTAAAATATATAATGAATTAATTAATTTAATAAGTGTAAATTAGCAAGTGAGTTGCCAATTAAAATACTTTTCATACGATGACACTTAATCCTAGAATAATACATCACATTGTATTTTCTATTAATTCAAGACATGAATAAAAAATACGATTTATAAAGTTCAAGATACATTAGTTCTTTAATATACATATGCTCATGCGCACAAACACGTTGTTTAATAAAACACTCTACATTAATTGAAAACCTACTTATCGTTTTAATTGTATAAGCTACTATTAAACTGTTGTTAATAAATATTTTTACTTATGGAGAATTAAAATTTTCTTGACTAAATGTGATAAGAAAAATTTTTATTGAAATTATATCATTCGTGTCATGAACAATATTTTATATTAACTAATTAGATTTCTATTATTAACTATTTTCTCAATAGTAATAATTATAAGATATATTTAATATTATAACATAGAATTTTATAAATTATAATAATAAATAAAATAGATATAAAAATTTGTTTATTTTTCATTGAAATTTTCGAATTTGATTGCATCAAATTTTAACAGTTTAAATTAAGATGGGTGTAGGCATAAGAAGTTCTTAAAATTATCTAATTGATTAGAATTAACTTTACGTAATTCAATTAACATAAATTTTTTAGTTTTAGCTCAACGAGGTTACTTTAAAGACTCAACTTTCATTAATTATTTAAAGTATTTACTGTATTGGAAAGAGCCAGAATATGCAAAATACTTAAAGTATCCAATGTGTCTTTACTTCCTTGATCTTTTGCAATATGAGCATTTTAGACGAGAAGTTGTTAATTCACAGTGTACTAAGTTTATCGACGATCAACAAATTTTACTTTGGCAACATTACACAAGAAGACGAACAAGACTATTACAATCTGCTGCTGAACAAGTACAACATAATCCTCAACAAAATAATGGAATTGCACAGCCAAAAGTTCTTTGAAATTATAATTAAATGAACGTAATAAACGTGATTTTCTTTTATTTGGTAATGTGAATTAAAATAATAATGAAGCGTAAGCTTAATTTTAAGACTCAAATTACTTTGTTCCTAAGAATCTATGATTAATGAAGATCATTAGATTCTTCTGTGATAACTCATTAATAAAACAATTTTTATATTTATTAGAACAGAATATTTTAATTATGCATTTATACATGCTTTACCCATATTTTAATCTTTAATAAGATTTTATTTTAAGCATTACGATTTAATTCCAACATAATTTCAATGCAATAAAACATCTTTTATAATGTTTAAAAAGAGACTTGACTTGTAATATGTTGCAATATTATTTTAATATTCAGTACATTGACTATTTAGAATAGTTTTGGATATTAGTAACTCAATCCTTGAACAATCATGATCTTTATTACTTTATAATAAATTGAAATATAAAAAATTATGTCACAGTGAATGGATAAAAAAGGAATGAGTAAGGGTATTATTATACTACTGTGTTTTTGATAATTCGTATTTATAACATTTATTATAATACAATTATTGTAAGGAAATTAGCAATTATGCAGTTCTGTATTTTTACATGAAGATTAAAAAACAAAACAAAAAAATTATATCAATAATAGCCACATTCATTTAGATTTTCTACAACAATTAAATTAATACTTACGTTTATAAATAAATTTTTAAATTACAAACTTTTTAAGTATATATTTTCAATATATATTAATATTTAATTGTAATTTTAAAAAATGAAATCGACGCATTTCAAGAATAATTTTGTATATAAACATCGAATTATCCTTCTTTTACCCAATAAACAGAGATTCGTGTGTTATAAATGTACAATATGAAATGAAAATTTTTGAAGAATTTAAAACAATTTAATAATGATTTTATACAGTGATAAAATTTATATAAAAATATATAATCATGAATTATTTGAAATACTTTATTTTGTACAAATATTAATTTACATTTATAAGAATGTAGTTTCATAGGTAAATTTTACAATCCTATATTTACAAATTTTTCATTTGAATACGTAATGCAAAGAAAAATGAAATGTTATGCATTAGTATAAACAGAAAGCTTCGTTACACTATTCAATAACATAATCTAAACTAATAAATGATTTTGATTATAAAATTGAAAGTTTTTATAAACGTGCAAAGTACAATAAACATGTAAATTTTTATATTTAATATTTGAATAAATAATGTATATGCGTATTTCTATAACTAAAAATAATGTACCATTTATTGAACATATATCAAGATACTATAATTTAACCGATAAATAAATAAACTGCTTTAATATAATCAAATTTACCAATTTCAATGTTTTTAAAATAAGACATATTTATTGTGAAAAATTATTATATTACATATTTTTTAAGCTACGCATACACTTTGGTTTCTCAGCGACAGTACTTATGAATATTTATATTTACAATTATGAGAAGTCTTTAACGTCAACAAGGCAAATTTATTTAAACAGCAGAAATGGAATTTTGCCGCTTAAAATGGTTAATAAAAAAAAAAAAAAAAAAAAAAAAAAAAAAAAAAAAAAAAAAAAAATTAACAATATAATCAGTCAATAGTTCTTAATTTATTTTAAATTCTTTTTATCTGTAAAATTAACGATTATACCATTTCCAGCATCAACCCAATCTTCCGAAAAAAGTTTTTCTCGCAAAACCTCAGAATTTTTTGATCGATCTATTGATTCTTTTTCATTGTTGCGTTTTATACTTTTCTTTTTTTGACCTAAAATGTTCGCTGCTTCGACTGAATCCGGTAAAATTTCATAAAAAGTTTCAGGAAACTTTAGACATAAAAAGCTTGCACAGATGCAAAGAAATCCTATTAAAAAGCGCGCGAGTTCCTGCAAAACGATTCAATATTACATTATTATTTACATTGCAAGTAGATTTAAGTATGTAATATTTATAATTTTAATAAATACAAAATTTCACTCAAATAACCTTAGTAAATCTTATATTTGATATTAATTATATATTACAATGCTACAATTGCGCAGAACATTACATTTAATTATTCTTTTTTAAACAAAGTTCAAAATTGTATACGAAATGCCATAAAAAATTAGTCTTTTTACTTACCGGGACGTAATTATTTAATATTGAAATGTAAGGCATAAGTAGACCTCCCAGCATTTCTGCGCCAATGCATAATCCAATTCCAGTTCCGCGTGAAATCGTAGGAAAAAGTTCAATTACTAAAAGTCGTAATATAAAGAAAGAGCTAATGTTTGCAATTCTTCCAAACATGACGATTATTGTTTTGGCATATACTGGAATGATAATTAAAAGAACGTTATAAAGAAATACACAGTACTGTATGAAAAAAAAAAGAAATAATTTTATAAATTTATCTTAGAAAGAAAGAAATTTATTGATCGATTAAAAGAAAAATAGAAAAGCACTCGAGCCGATGGATCACCAATCGATAAACAAATAGACACTAAAGGATGCATTATGAAAAACAAATGCCTAATTGTCATTTAAAAGAAAATTTCTTTTCATTCGAATTGCTTCTAATTGCTAAAGAAACTTGATGGTATTTTGTTACTATTTCAATGTATTCATTAGAATAAAATTAATATTTACAAACGTATAATCATACCAATATATGAACAAGAGTTTATTGAAAGAGTGACAATATACAGAAGTAAAAAAAATTACAATAAAAAATGAAAATATAAAGATTTAATTTATTTAAATAACAATTTTAATTAATCGAATAGAATCGCTCATTTTGATAATACCCAACTATATATATATATATATATATATATATATATTCGTTATTTGAAGAGACTGTAGGAAAATTATTTTTAATAATTTTAAATAAAAAGCAGAAAAAAGTATAAATTTACTAAATGCTGCTTCACTTTACTTAAATTATCGTTATATATATATATATATATATATAAACAAAAACTTGAAGCCAGGATCGTGCATAATGTATTCAACTCGATACTCGTTTAAAAATCTTAGAAGAAATTTTCACTTGTTAAATACTAAAATAAAAAATATATAAAATTATTTAAATACTTAAATACTACTGTCGATCCAACCTGTTTTCCATGCATCGAGAGTACATTGACGTCGACGAACGATGACTTCAAAAGCTAATGAAAGTCGTTAATGACAATGCATCGCTAGCACGAAATGAGCGAAAATAAATAAATGATAATACCAAAGTAATTTCAATAATAAAAAATAAAAGTTTCATTAAGCACCCATCCATTTGGTAAAATTGCTCCCAGCGAGGTAGATTTTACAAAAGGTGGTGGTCAGGCAAATCGAACGTTATCTCGACCCGAGCTCAATAATACAGACAATTTGACCTTGAGATCCGGGTCGACACGCTCTAGAAAGCGGGTAAAGAATTAAATTGGACTGTAAGGAGGTGGGGAGTGGTGCCACCCGCTCCTCCATACTCGTCCCATTCGTCCGCTGTCCTGTCTTACACTCACCAAGCCATTCGATCGCCGCGAGCTGTGTCCGAAGGAGGGCAAAGACGCCGATTGAGAGACAGATGATGCCGACAAGGAGCTGGGCCGCGCAGAGTGGACGACGACGACCGCAGCGCGATGATATCACCAGGTAGGTTAGTACGAACGTAATGACTTCGGCGCCAGCGGCGAGGACCAAGGAGACGTGACGCTCGCCGCTCAAGCGCTGCGGTAGGCTTACAAGAGCGTGGAACGTCGTCGACGAGGTGAACCTTGAAACAACGAGGCTCGAGTCACATTAGGCTCAAAGGCGCGTAGTAACGTCGGTAACGGCTATTCCACGAATTCTTGGTGAAGCTTAGCATCGACATATCGAGCCGATTTCTCGATTTAAGTACTCACCACAGACACATCATAATGACACACGTGCGTCCGATGAACTTGGAGTAAAGGAATCTCGTAAATCTACAGTTGGTATATATTTTGTTCGTTATTGTGTTGGAGCCATTAGTGGAAAGTGCCTCCTTTGATACTAAAATAAACGATGGGACGGTAATACG